CTTTCTCTCATTAGAGTTAAATGAGAGTATTAGCTGGCAATTTCTCATATTGATAGAATAGGATCATAAATGTTTCTCTGAATGTGATCTCCTTTCAAATAATCTCCCCTTGGGATCAAAAGGGAGATTATTTGGGAAGATCACATTCAGAGAAACCTCCATCTTCCTTCTTCGGTAGTCCTGTCCAGATCCTATTCACAATCCCTTCAGGAGCTTTGATTGAGCACCCCCACCCCCACCCCCACTCCAACAGTGAAAGTCTTCAGCAGGTCCAGGACATCCAAGTCCACCTTGTCTCATCTTAATTTCCTGTTTCCTTCCCTATTTCTTAAAATCTATGAGGGTGTATAGAAACATCTGTTTCCCAGCAAGTTTAATGATATACAAGAACATCTTGCTTGTTCTACAGCTTGTTTGCAGATAAGCTCTAAGCTTAAATGCTACACAGTCACAGGTAGGTCATATATCTGCATATGTTCCATAGACCAACTATGAATTGCGCTGAGTGAAAGAACAATAACATCAATCTTAAAGTGACATTGGATTCACCATCATAGTGGATATTTTCAAAGATTTAAGACTTAAAAGATTTAAGATTTCAGAACTTTGAGGGCAGTTGTTATGTCCCAATTCATTTTAATAAATATAATTTTAATCTTAAATTTTTTGGGTTACAATTTGCTATCCTCCCCATTGATTGTCTGAATATTTTTGTCAGTATCAGATGGTTTAAATGATGAGACTTTAACACTGGAATTATTTTCTCTGCAATAAGCTAAAAACAACTGAAATTGTCATTTCACCAGGCACTGAATATAGCTGTTTTTCAATTTTAAAACTGATCCATTAAACTTTCCTCTTGTCAAGATCCCATTGTTGGAAACTACCTTCAGCTGGCCATATTCTTTCTCCCCAAGAGGTTCATAGTAAACACTGGATATCAATCTACTTAATAAAATTGCAATTGTAGCAATCTTCTGAACTTCAAAATCTAATAAGGCAGTTACTGTAGATTTTTACTTTGTTTCTTCTCTCTCTCTCTCTCTCTCTCTCTCTCTCTCTCTCCTCTTCTCTTTTTTCAGGTCAATTTCCAATGTTCAGATTGCTTATCTTTCTTTTTGTAATTGTTTAAATAAATTTTCAAAAAGCCAAATGATCTTTAAACAATCAAAAGCAAAGATGTAGACAGACCATGGAATAGATCATGAACTGCTCATATGCAAATGCCAAGTCAAGTACCATAGAAGAAAAGTTTATAACCATTTTCAAGAACATCAGGAATTCCTTTGAAGTCTTGAATTCCACTGATAGGAAACTAGATAAACTACAGAATGAAATGAAAATGTTCTGAATGAATATGAAAAGACACTGCCAAAAAACAAGAAACAGAAGAAACCAAGCTGGAGATCGGAACAGACAGTAGAAATTGCAGAGAAAACAAAAAGAAGCCAAAGCCAAGAAGTTGTTCTCCAAATTCGTCTCTGGGTTCCTCAACAAAAAGCCAATTGCGTAACTCTGAGCCAGTCTCCCTTAGCCTTAGGAAGAAGACAGTGGCAAACTACTTCTGAAAATTTGCCTAGAACATTGCATGGACTGCGTGATTTGAGTCATGCCTGATTTGAAGGCATGATAATGGTGCTTCAATGTCATTAGCGTATCTAATGACATTAAAGCATCATTATCTAATTGTAGATATTGTTATCTATGACCCTGGATTGAATCCATAGCTCAGTTCTTGGCTACACAGGCCTTCTGGAAAGGCCTCTTACTGTGAAATACAGGGCCAAGCTCCATTCTCAGCTGCAGAATGAGGCTGGGGCCACAGAAGAAGTGGGCCAGCGAGGCAAGTGTCAATCCATGGGAGGCCTGGCTGCAATGGTAAGCTCCACCCCCGCCCTAGCTTGATTTTTAGGCATGGGCCTCACCCCAAAACTAGGGCTTATTTTCAGGGTAGGTCTTTTGGGGAAACACGGTATGTCTTTACAATAGTCACATCTGTTCATATTACTGATAAGTGGGAGAACTTACACTAAGCCATAATGTGGTTTAATTGGATTTAGCAGCCTGTCATTGTGATTTAGCAATAAATGATCATAACCTTCAATAACATTACTGAGGATTACTTCAGAATAGGCACGTACAAGTTTGTGCTATCTCAATGACCAAAGTTAACCAATAATAAATGAAGCAAGTAAGCTATCAGGCTTCTGGTTTGCCAATTAGCAGATCATATTTTTACTGTTACACCTGTTTAATAAGCAGCAACAAAATAACTCCCAATCCAAATTATGCTGCTGAAATAAACTCTGGGATAATTAGACGGTATGTTCATATAAAAGGATTTCGAACTCTGTTGATTCTAAGTGCATGTCTGCTGTATCAGACTGCTCAGTTCTGAAATAAAATAATAGTTTATTTCCATTCCATCCATGCATCATCTTGGAGAGAGGCAGATGTGGAAAGGAAGCGGCTGTAACATTCCTAACAATGCAAAAAAAAAAAAAAAAAAAAAAGCTTGGGGGAATTTCTCTAGTGTAACTGCCCTTCATGACAGCATTAATCTTCAAAACCTAACACTCACAATAGGAAGAGCACTGCAGAATTTCCCTTATACAGCACTGGCCCTTTCAAGCAACCCGAGACCATGAGAATTACGTTGGTTGTGGTTCCTGTAATGCAAAAGAAAAGTCAGTCTGATTCTGTTGCAAGCAATTTGCAAGGTTCTGAAAGCAAACACATTTTTTAAAAAGCAAAGATGAAAACTGCATGTATTTTATTGAAATATCTTAAGTTATGAAATAACAATGATACTCCCAACACTTGCTCATGAAATGTAGTTTTACTGCCACTACAATTATTTTAATACAATGCAGTGCTTGTACCATGTAACAGACATCAGTTACTATACATTTAAAAAACAAATAAGTTTCCAAACATTACTACACAATGCACAGTATCATATATTGTAAAATACAAAATTTTTTAGAATACCCTCTGTTACTTGAGTTAAACACGCTAATAATAACTTTATACTGAGTTGCTTAACTGTTAAATCATATTACAGACTTAGAATTTAAAATGCTTGTTGGTGTCATCTATACTGATCACCTACTACAATGATATTTTGAAAATATAGATGTGATAGATTTTACACAACAAATGTAAGAGTTTCACGAAAACATTTAAACACACATGAAAATCATGTGCTTAACAACTTATATTACAATAACCCCAAATTATATTTCTAATTATCTCCTTTTTAAAAAATCTGTTTGACTAATCTGTTTTCCATAAGCATTAATTTCAATCAAATTAATCACTTTGTGGATCATTATTCATGTTGCAGAGCAAAAGATTGCTGCATGAGAGCAAAAGCTGTTTCCACTAAATAGCAGTATGTAATGAGAAAATGAACTGTACCAGTTCAGTCTGCAGATGGAAATTACATTATGAAATTTATATCTTATTTTAAGCTCTTTACAGAAGAGACAGCCTATCCAGGAATAAAAAAAAATCCAGACTTGGCATTTCACTGCCAAGCTCTTTCTATTTGCAGGCAAATTATGTTATTATTGATCAAATGAGGAAGGTTTCAAAGTACAACATATCAAGTAGTACAAGTCATTTTAGCACTTCATTTGCACTAGTGTTCTTGTACACCCTTTCACATGCCACATTCAATCTAGCAATCCAATGTTCAACCATATTTTATCATTTAAGGAAAAATAAAGATTTCCTGAAATTCACCTCCATTTGACAACCAAAGTGAGATCTAATGCAATGCAATGTTACAACGCATTCATGTAAATTCATATTTTTAGTCCAGAGAATTGCATATTAATTATATTATTCTTTTCAAATGAAGGTCTATTGCAAGATCTAATCATAGTTTTAACTATGAAATTAAAACAAATGCTGGACTTCTACCTTATGTGATACATGTATCTCCATGTTATAAGTATCTCCCTTTACACTGTAACATGCTTCTCTAATCTAAAACATAAGACAAGGTTTAATTTAAAGGCGCTTTACAACCTGTAACTTGAGTTGCAGTGCCTTCCTATCAATTTTTGTTTCTTAAAACATACTTGTCTGAAGAATATACATGAATGGTTGTCCTCCAATAAAATCTAGATATCACCAAAAAGGCATCAAATAGAGCCAAATAAAATAAGGGCAACAGCAAATTATTGGAACAGTTAATCCTATCCCAAGGGCAGATCTACCATTCAAGCATTGAACTGCATGCAATTTTACTTTGATTTTTATTTACTCACTTCCGCATGCTCATCTCCTCCTACACTTAAATCTTGCTTGGAAATCTCGGGGGGGGGGGGCGAATGAATTGCATAGGTAGAAAGGAAAATCTGATCCATTAGCATATCCATATTTCTGGCAGACTGACATAACTGTACTGCAATACCTACTGAAGTAAGTAGAAATGGGTAGAGAAAGGCCTTCCCTTCCAACTCCACTACAAAGCACCAGACAGACCTGTGTGCACCCTTAAGCCAGTACAAAATTACAGTAGCATAATTTTTTTTGCTGTTCCAAGGATTTGGAAGAAAGGTCCAAAGACAATTCTGTCCAAAAAAGAAAATGATGTAAGAGCAGAGCATAATGCTAACTTACACCAATAGAGTGAGCTTAGGTTCAAATTGAAACTAATCTAGGCTAAATAAATGTTTCTCTTTAATGTTAGCAAATTTTAAAGAGTTCTGCTTATTAAAATATGGACCAAAGGAACATAGCAAGATCTCTCATTATTCAATTATCTTACATTTCAGTTACATTTTGGACAAATTTTGTTCTTAGTTGTGCTCATAAAAAATTGTTAGAAAAACACATTAATCTTCTTCAGATACCGACTGGTTACTATTTCTCTGGTAGAAACTTCTAGAGCGAGAACTGGAGTTGGCATGTTTCCGCGGAGATTTAGATAATGATCTGGTAACTGAGCCTGAGCGCTTTGGATGTGACCGCGACTTTGTCCTTGAAGTAGAACGTCTTCGGTGGGAGCCGGATGGCGACTTCTCAGCATATTTTGAACACCTCTGCAATGATTTTGACCGTGATCTTCCTCTAGAGGTAGAATTCCTTTGAGGCGAGACAGATCGTCTTGGTGAGCTGGAATGCCTTGGAAGAGATTTTGAGCGAGACTTAGATTGACTATAAGAATGTCGTCTACGTCTTGACCTGCAAATCATCCACAGTATTAGATCTTTATTTGATCCAAACAATTTAAAATTATCCCAGAAAGTGAATGTGGATGGACCTTCCTTGGATAACATGCCTAAATTGTTTAGCCTTCTGCTGAAACCATTCCGAATTGTATTTTGTAGATCTTGTGTATACTTTTTGTACCTTGCAACGGCAACAAGAATACAACCACTAAGAGACAGCATGCAAAGCAAAGGTAAGTGCTTCAAAGTTATAAAACATAAGAATTTGTAAATAACTCTACATTGTGGATTAACTCTAATCTCTAGTCCTAAATGTTCAAATGATTTTTTACGGAGCCAGATTTACTGAACCTATATATATAAGAGATGTCATTATTCATTATTTATGGTATTTCTATGCTCCAAAATCATTTTGAACAGCATTTCCTTTCCCTCATTGGTTATCATCCTTGTCATTATATTCTCTTGAAGCAGTTTAATGCAACCGAATCATAATAAACTCCCTAATTTATGAAGTGGCTTTTTTTTTTTTTACACTGGTTGATATTTAAACTATCTTACTCTTTAAAGCTGTCAGAGTGTCTTCTACTCCAGCCCCATGATGAACTTCGGCTACGTGTCCTCCTTCGGCTGCGGCTTCTTGATCTTCTATAATCCATTGGAGAACACTGGCGACGTTCTTTTGACTTCATCTGACCTGGGGCTGGAAATTAAAACAAAAACTGGGAGAATGCAAGGAAATAGAATCATCTTACACTGTTAGCATGCTATTACTTTTACATTTTAATAAATTGTCCCTCTACATTGTGAGTGTCATGAGTTTTGTGCTTGTATCATTCTAAGCAATATTAAAATCTACTTTCTTAAATAAATATTTGCAGAATAAGTAAGTGATGTGTTTATTTTCACTTACTTTTGCGATCCCCTTGTGCAAACTGTATTTCAATTTGCCGGCCACATACCCACTTTCTATTGAGGTTATAAAGAGCATCTTCTGCATCACGAACATCTTCAAACATGACTGTCTGTTAAGGACACTTTAAACATGCACAAAGCAAAACATTGTATCATATATCATAGATCACACACTCAAATATTTTTAAAATAAATCATCTTATTTTTATATTCTACATAAAACGTAACTGTTGTATATCCTATGTGGTCTCTTAATTATAATAATATTTCATCGAGGCATAAGCTAAGAAATATGCAAAGTGTGAAAGGAAGACCACGTCCCCATTGAGGAAAAAGGACCAATGGCCACAATTCGCTTCCAGGGGTTCTCTAAATGTTTCAAAACACTACTGGCTTTGCATTCTACCAAGGTCAAGCATCTACCAGGGTCCCAGAATAGATAGAAGATATCATTACCTTACCATGTAATCATTCTAATTTTGCACAGGCATGCAAAAGTTAGTACGTAGATTTTATTTGCTAGCATTATCTATTACAAGGTTGATGGGTATTTTGTGTGGGACTTCAAAATGCTGCCCAGCTGTGTTTGGAAATGTAAATCTCCCTTCACACTTTGTCTATATTCAGACGTTACAGACTTAATTATTTTAATGATGGCTTGCTGAGTGAATCATACTGGGTGGATTTATATAACACTGGCCAAAAGTAAACAAATGCAATAAATCAACATCTGAAACTAGTTAAAAGCAGCAATGAAAGACAAATATAGCTGGTGTGCTGCAAAATATGAAACATCTCAATGTCACACACAAAATACAAAAAAGACTGAATACATTTTAAATCCAAAAATCTTTGAGTACTGAAACAAATACAAAATTCCTGTACAGGCTAACTTCATTTCATTTCAATGGCATATCTGTGTAGCAAATTTGCTTCTTCTTTTATATGAATGTCAAAAGTCCTGACAGGAAGGAATTCTCTGCATAACTGAAGCCCTGAATAGGTGCACATATAGTTAGAATATGCACCTTACAATAAGGGCCTTCATTAGCATCTGATGGATAACCACAGTTTAGAATTTGAAAATATAGTTCAATATTATTCTGCCATTTGCTTTCATAATCATCTGACTTCCTTTTCATTTTGCTGTTTTTTTTATTATTTTACAACAAATAAAATTTGATGATATAAAAACTGCTAGATAATCAAAACAAGCGCTATTGCATTTATATCTCTTTTGTTAGGGAATAAATTAATAGAAAAACCAACAAATATTTGTATACAATTGTTTTGTATTAATTTAAGAAAACAGTATTTAAAACTAGAACAGTTATAAACAAACAAATTCTTGACTTGAAATTTAAGAGTTTTGAGCGATAAGATACAAAAGGAAACTTTGGCAGTTACCTCCATGTCACTTGATCTTGACCGTTACTCTTTTGGGCTTGCTAGATGGACTTGACAAGGGCCGTGGAACCAACCAAATCAGACTTGGCTTTGACTTTGGAACTCGTGCAAATGTCGGAAAGCCGAAGCCTTAACTTGGTGTTGTGGCTTTGTCTTTTTCCTTGAAAAAGGACTTCCCCTCTTCCAGTTTTCTTTTTATCTTTTTCCACCCTCCCTCTTTATTCCTTGAAGCTTGAACTTTAAGGTGTCTTTTGGCTTGCCTGCTTGGACTCTATCTAACCGGGTTCATTCAAACTTTGGGGTGCTTGCCAGCCACTGTGGACTGCTTTACATTTTCTGAGACAAAGAAATAAATACATTAAGTTAGGATGCAATAACAACAATGCACCGCAATAACAATACAATGAAATAAAGGATATTGTATATAAGCAAATCCTCGTGGGCGTCTTGTGTAGAAGTCAAGCGGAATGTATACGTCTACTACAGGGCCATATCGACCAAATTCACGGCGCAAATCCTCAGGCCTGAAGTATTTTAGAAATAAGGCAAAAAAACATGAGTGTGTCTATATAATGGCACCTGGTACCCAGGAAATGTTTTCTATATTTAAAAATATTAAAGAAATACTTTGTATAATCCTAAAATTTCTTGTGGTATTAATTCAAATTTTAACCACTACTTTGGCTATTTGGGGAAATCAAAACTGGCAAATATTGAGTACTTTCAAATATATGACTATTATATTAAGCAAAAACAGACAGGAACCTTTAAAACCTCCCTTTAACTTTATTTTTCTAATAATGAACCATTTTTATTTGTGTTCTTTGTTTGAACAGTGAAACAATTTAGGCAGCTAAATGCATGACAAAAAAGGCCTCAAACAAGAACATCTCAAAAGTTTTTCTCCCTTCCTGAAACTGCTATTATACATTGTCCTCTTTTCAAATCCAAGGAGAGTACAATTTAGCCTGGTAGATACCAGACTTATGAAAAGTGAGAACACTATGGGAAGGTAAAGGCAGACCTTTTCCTCTCACAAATATAGTGGTAGCTGAACATGCAGTCTACAATGAAACTAATTCAGGAAAGAGAAAATGAAAACTTCTGTACACAGTAAAAATGTGTAGTGATGATTTTGAAAAGGGTTACACGATCTCATAAAAATGATCATGCACTACAGTGAATTGAATAAATGGGGATCAGAGAAGCATTACATCTACTGAAGGACCTATACTAATTAGTAATTAAGAACTGCATTTCGACAATACATTATACTATGCATTGTAAAATACTAACCTTAACCAGGTTAGTTATAAACATAATAGCTGCAGTATAGGACAAATATTAAGATGTTAGATTAGCACTAGGGAAAATCAGGTTAAACTTCCACCTTCACCTTTAAATCTCACCTCAGAATCTAGTTATCCAGCTCAATTTAATGCACATCTAAAAATTGAAACAGAGAATGACGTATGTATGTATGTATGTATGTATAAAAAAAATAAATTCAAACACCAGGATAATATCAAACTAAAAGCTATTTTATGTATGTATGTATGTATGTATGTATGTATGTATGTATGTATGTATGTGCGTGCTACTTTGAGATCCTGGAGAAAAGGCTGGATATAACACATTTAAAAAAATTTGCACAATGTGTGAACTTTGTTGTTCTTTTAGTCTTGATACAGGAGGGGTCAGAGTTGGTCTAACCCAGGAGTCTTCAAACTTGGCCCTTTTGACTTGTGGACTTCAACTCCCAGAATTCCCCAGCCAGTGTGCCTGATTAATTCAATATCCACAAAATCTGTGTTGTGAAAATGGAATCATGGGGTAACTGCTGGAACTGGCTTAAATTTTGCTTCTATGATTTCTGATTATACAACTAAATAACTAGGTATTTATACAAATTTCTGGTAGGCTGGACAGAATAATCATTTAATCATTAGCTAAAAATAAATTTATTTGGACACTTGTCAGAGAATGAATCAGCTAATGGCTGCAAATAAACAAAAATCCTATTATAAACAAGGGAATTGTCTTACTTCTCTAACAAAAATTAAAAGAAATTCCACTCTGGTTAGAACAAAGCCTTTGCATTAAAAAAATAAAATAAAAATGCTATCTCTCCAAACTGAAGGAAATCCCTACAAGCCTGGCTTTAAAAAAACCGATCTGAATTTACCATATTCTGCTATACGTATGCTCAGTTAGTGCATAAACAGTTATGTGTTTGATTCATTGTTTAAGTATAACAACCAATAAATAAAGATGGAGTATCTGAGCATCAAAGTACATATTTCAAAAACATAATTAGCAGCTACATGGGGGTGTGTGTATGTGAAAAGAATGGTGGTACAGATCCACATTAGAATCTTAGCAAGCAAATTTTAAATGTTTAAACAGCCATGATCCTAATTAGTTTGTCTTGTCCAAAATTAATCTGTTTGTTTCAATAGAGCATTTCTTGATTATGTATGTTGCTGGTGCAAAAGGGCCAATCTACACTGCAATTGTATTATAATGTAAAATAATAAAAGTACTTTCCCCACTGCACAGCTATGAGCCAAATTGAATTCTCCCCAATTTTTTGGTGAACAAAGAGGAAAAACATTAACTGCTTATTTCATCTTTAAAGAAATAGTTTAATTCTGAAATTCCCATTAAACAAGGAGGAATTGGATCATTTTTTGAAAGAGAAATCACAGAAAACCTCCTCCCTACTCAGGCAGAATATGGAGCCTTGCATCCTAAATTCCTGTGAGAGTATCTCTCCTCATGGAATATTCTGATAGGAAGGGGATATAATACAGTAAGGAAAGTGATCATATTCACTGTCCTTGTGGTTTTTCATTCTATCTTTTTCCTACAAAAATCTTGCTGCAGAAAGAAACCTGCTAGATCAACAGCAGGTAAGATAATTCACTAACAACATCCTTGGTTTTTCCATCAGTGGGAGTTTTCACAGCATCATTTGTTTGTATGTAGGCAACCTATAATTTACAGATCCGTTACAATGAAAACAAATTCAGTGAAATTATCAGAGAAGTTTCCTACTCCCAAATAAATGACCAAGACCCTTTCCCTTCTGGTACCTAAACTATAACACAAACATGGCCTGGAAGCATCCTTCTTCTATCACAGTGTTTCAAAACCTTGACAATTTTAAGGCATGTGGACTTCAACTCCCAGAATTCCACAGCCAGCAATTCTATTTATTCTGTTCTCTTTTTAAGTCCCGGGAAGATAGGATAACTATAAAAACTTTTAGATACAGGTCTCCTATATGAAAAAAAAAATACTTAAATAGGTTTACTATATTCATTTTGGAAATGATAAATCTAAGGAGGTAAACAGTCTCAGCCCTGATTATATTTGGGTGAAGGACAATTGGGAATTTCAGCGTTGATGACTAGAATGGGGAATAAATGTCTGTCTGTCTGTCTCTCTCTCTCTCTCTCTCACACACACACACACACACACACAGACATACACAAACAGAAGGCAATAAAAAATAATTTTGTCAAAATTATTGCATGGATGCAATTATCAGGAGCCAAATTCAATTTGGGGGCATCTTTAGCAAGTATATTAAAAATAGTAACTGATGTTAATTTAATCAAGGAACTGAAATCAATAAAAATTGAAAATTAATCTATATGATTCTGACGAAACACAGTAAACATGTTATATCTACTAGAAGTTAAGATGAGGGCAAAAATCTTATCATTTAACATGATAAGATTAGTTATTTTCAAGACACAGGAAGAATTGAAACCTATACAAACAATTGGATGCAAAGTTTTTGCCTCTTCATAGGCAGGGAAGAATTTCAGCAAATACAATCCACTTCCAAATTATTATCTTCACATCTCAAAATTTACAGAACCTACCTTGTGTTTAAAAAAATTACAGAAGCCTAATTCCCATTTGCATCATTAAGTTATATGAGTTTCAATTAAACCTCAGGCCTGGGGGTAATAATATCAAAAGAAAGGGAAGGTGAGATTGAATCTACAGAATTATATACTTGGCCACAGTTTACATTTCACTGAAAGCACATTGGGAAGATATAAAAATCTATGAAGGTCTCCCCAAATCTTGGGACCAACATGTTGGGGGCATGCAGCTAGATTCCCCCAGAGAAACATACTGCTATGGTGATACAAAAGCAAGTCTTCCTCATAGGAATTAAATCAATTTGTTGCCCCCTCAGAGCAAGGCATGGAGGAGAATTGAAATTATGTTTGTGTGTGTGTGGGGGGGAATCCTGCTCTTACTTCTTAATCCTATGGAGGGGCTTCATTTTTTCCCCTAAAGTCGTACTTTTCCAATAGTGCACTCTAGGACTTTTTAACACCCGATAACATTTTGAAAAAAATAGCAAGGAAATGAACAACGTTCTCCCTGGATAGGCCCCAGAGGCCTTGAGAAGCAAATCTTCGCCCAGTAGGTTAATATTTGGTGCAGGTACTAAATGCACAGACGTCGGGGGGGGCGGGGGATTAAAACAAATAAAACCTCCTCGAAAATGGTGATGCTTTCTCCCCCATCCCTAACCCGGGCCGCTCGTTAAGCTCCAGCCGAGTCCTCGTCGCTGCCCGGGGCCCTGCTCCCAAAATAGAAGCGACGGGCACCGCTCTTCCGAAAGGCCCGCCGCGCTCCCGCAGCCGCTCCCTATAGCTACAGGCCGCCTCCCTCCAATCTCTCACCTAGTGGCGTCCGCCACGTTCCTGACGAAGAGCGAGGTGTTGGGAGGCCGCGTATAGCGGGACATGGCGGTCGGAGGCCTGGGATCTCCCTTCGGGAACAGACCAGCGGCGAGACGAGCTCGAGATGGAGGAGGAGGAGATGGAGGAGGAGGCGGCGGCTGGTTTGGCTGCGGCAGAAAAAGCCGGGATGGAGACGGCGAGCGGCGCCGCGGCGGCCACAACGAACAGAGGCCTGAAAAACTCGGCGAGGGGGCGGGAACAATGGCGAGAGCCGGAGGTGGAGAGAGAAAAAGGCCGCGCAGTCTCCTCCTACAGGTCGCGGCCTTGCTAGACACCGCGGGAGTCGTCCCGGGAACTAGTGATGGAGACGGGAGGGGACTGGATTTCCAAAGGGGCTGCAAGCTTCGAAACTACCGGAGAGTCTCATGCAGCTGGGAAACCTATCAGGCTATGTCGAGTTCTGGCATCTTTAGAGGCAGCCAGGCACCTCGAGTCCTTGCAGGGGTTCCCTCCCTCCTGCAATTTATTTCATTCTAGCATCATAAATAGGAATTCTCCAACGATAAAGGCTACTAAAATAAACAGCAATTCATCAATATGTGGAGAGTCATAGGGATGCAAGAAGAGCAAATTTATTATTTATTTAGCATTTTACCTCCCTGCCCCAAGATTCTGGACTGTTTACAAGCATTAAAAAAACTGCTTAAGAAGTCCAATAAAATAACATACCTCAAACCTTCTACTATTTCCAGCCCATAAAATAAAATCCGAACTAAAGACAGTCCACCATCACCAGTAAATTTCAAAACAAAATGGTCTTTCTTACCTTGAAGGAAACAAAAAGCAAAGGGTCAAATGCATTCCTGGTGGCAAGATATATCAGACTGGTAGGTCTTCCATGAGAAAAGTGCATTTCAGTTTACATCCTCCCCATCTCTTGAGGCATTAGAACCAGAAATTTTATAGGTGATGCTATAGGATTGGCAGAATCCATCTGAAGCAGATATCAAGTTAAGTGGAAACTGAACTGTAGGGCTTTTTAGGTTAAAGCTACTACAAATAGAAGCCTATTGATAACTAATAAAGCAGCCAAAGTAGCAGTATTATAGTAGTAGTGTCTCTCCCCTATCAGAAATTTGGCTACTGCTTTTTATGCCAATTGAAAGTACCAAATTATCCATTAAAGGTAGCTCCACTTATCACACATTACAATAGTCTAAAGTGAGGATAAAGTCACTGTCACCAAGGCTTTACAGTTAAGGAATGGCTGAAATAACGGTTTAAGGAAGTATTTCTCAGCCTTGGCAACATGAAGATATGTTGACTTCAACTCCCAGAATATCCACATCAATAACCCCCTAAAAACAGATTTAATTTCATGGCCCAGTGCCTGGAGAGTAGGCTTATGTTTTTAATATCTTAAATGGGTCTGACTCCAAATTATATAAATCTTACTCCAATGCATATTCAAGTTTTTAACATCTTGAATTGGGCCTTAATCCAATTTATATAAACCTTACTCCAGTGGACTTCTCATAAGGCCACTGGAGTAAGGTTTATATAAATCTCAGGGACCAATTTAAGCATTAATTAATATATTGACAGCATTGATATTAGAGGCTGAAGAGAAAGCCTAAAGAAGGATGGGTTACAAGCCCTCTTTATGGAAGTACTCTTTTATTTGAATGAAGCATGATTGATAGGGTTAACTATACTGATTGGGATAGTTCATATGTGTATTGGAATTTATAATGAGAGACGGAAAGGAAGAAGTCAATTTTTCTTTACAATGGATGCTCTGGATTAAACAATATTACCCCTTTGACACTGTCCAAATCAGATTCCACAAGAAAACTAGAATTAATTAAGATAATCAGAACTTTGCAAATTTTGTAGGTTTTTTCCCCTCTTTTTTATACAACTATGAATCAGGGAGGAGCCAGCATCAGTCTCTAAAATGTAATTGTTAATCCTTCCCAGCTAGGCTTACATTCCTGCAATTAACATTAATTTATCTTGATAGCAGTTGAGAATTCCAAATGCCCAATGGCTTTTTAGCTGAGTTTGTGATAATAGTGTTCTAAAAGAATAAGAGTGGATTATAGTTCAAAGTTGGACCCTTCAAATATTCTGCTACAATATGTTGTTCCAGAGCCTAAGTGCAACAACACAGAAGGCATGCTTCCTAGATCCCATTAGATTGCACTATTTAATTGAAAGGATACAGAGCAGGCCCAGATTTTTTGGGATGGACATAAATAACAGGATATCTGACAAATAACCCATCCCAGTGCCATAAATGGCTTTGAAAATGACTACCAGCATCTTGAATCCAGAAACCTACTGGGAGTCAATGAAACTCATATAGTAGTGATATTATTGAGCATACTGAGATGCATACAAAACTATTTATTTCAATAAATAAATGGAATTTAGAAGTTCATAAATTCATAGAAGTTTGTATCTTCTGCTAGACCACAGGTCAGCAACCGGCGGCTCCGGAGCCGCAAGCGGCTCTTTGAGCCTTTCCCTGTGGCTCCCAGCCTCCTCTGCCTTTGCAGAGAGAGAGACAGAGACAGAGAGAGGCAATTGCGCTTCCCTGCTTCTCTCTCTCTCTCACTCTCTCTCTCTCTCTCTCTCTCTCTCTCTGTTTTGTGTGTGTGTTGTGTGTGTGTGTGTGTGTAAAAAAGAGAGTGCACTCACAGTGTTCTCCGAGGAGCTGAAAAGCTTACTGGGCGGAGCTCCTCCCTTTGCTGCGTCTCTGCAGGAAGCAGGAAGGGCAGGAGAGAGCTAGCTAGCCCAGCTAGGCTGACTCAGAAATTCTGGGAGTTGAAGTCCATGAGTCATAAAAGAGACGAGGTTGCTTACCCCTGAGCTTGTTGGACAACAGCTTGAAGCTTGCCAGGTGAGCAGCAGATAGGAGGGGGGGGAGAAAGAGAGAGAGAGAAAGAGAGAGAGAGGGGGAGGGGAAGAGAGAGAGAGAGAGGAAAGAAAGAGAGAAAGAAAGAGAGTGGGGGAAGAGGAGTGGCAGACCAAGGGCAGATAGAGAGGGAGGGAGGGAGGGAGAGAGATAGAGAGAGAGAGACCCTTTTGACATCTAAAATGAAGATAACACTGCATATATCCTTTTTTTACCTTTGTGTGTATGTAATTTTATTCTCTTAAAGCATTCTCTTGGTGATCATTGTTTTAATAGTATGGATATTCCCAAGAGTCATATTTTTACTTTTATTTTTAATGTGTGTGTGTGTTTGTGTGTGTATACACCCACACACACAATCTCTCTCTCTCTCTCTCTCTCTCTCTCACACACACACACACACACACACACACACACACACACACCTATAATAAAGATAAAAAAGGATATATGCAGTGTTATCTTCATTTTAGATATCAAAAGGGTGTTGCGGCTCCCAGTGTTTTGTTTTTGGTGGGAAACGGGTTCAAGTGGCTCTTTGAGTGTTTTGGGTTGCCTACCCCTGTGCTAGACTGTGACTTGCCATCTATTTCCCACCAGATTCTCACCACCAGTCACCATATTATTTTTTGCCCAAGTGCCACCCAACTAATCAACATCAAGTCCTTATCAACTCTGATTCTTATTCTGTAAGAAAGAGCCCCATCCAATATTAAAAGGACAAACATATCTAACAGCTAGATAATCTGGGTCTCTGCATTGCTTCTGCTTCAGAATTCAGCAATCAATAGTCCAGTCAGCCAGCCAGCTCAGATACAGGGTGCTAGATATGATGCTTCAACAAATTTTTATTGTAAGACTATGTCCTATATTATATGAAAGCAGGTAATGTTCCTGCATTTTTAACAGATACGGAGAAGAGAGGAAGAGATACAATGGCATTTTTGAGAAACTACTGTTAACTACTGTATGATCGCTCCACCTTCTACATGATGGTCAAACCCTTTTCTCTGTCACTGCAACCATCTATATGCTGAAGCTATTCATTATGATGGGAAAATGTAGTATTGTAACCTCTGGTCTGATATGCAGCGGCAAGAAATCACATAAGGTGGCAGTAAAAGACTGTAAAACATGTAACCTTTTATACATTGGAATGATTCACTCTGCAACAACAATTACATAACAGGCAATTAACTAGAAGTGTTTAGCTAGTCTTGTTGTTTTTCAGAAGTTAAAAACTCTCCTTGGCCATTGTAATGGAAAAGAAGCAGAATGGTTGTTTTATAAAATATCCTTTCTTATGCCTTTATCTCTTGAGGGTTATGCAACAGTCATAAATGTGCTCATTTATAGCATCACACAGTCCTTCCAACAACCTGTCCTTGGAAGAGATCAATTGACCCAGTGATGGCTAGATGACTACATAAATTGCTACTTTAGAAATGATTGCAGAATGTGGGATGAATACACTTTTATTTTAATCATGATGCCCAAATCTAGTGCAGCATATGCTAAATTCAGTGAGAATTCTGAATATACATTGATAGGAATATAGAGTAAGAATCAACCAGACCTTTAAACTGAGAAATAATTTCTGCTGCAAATTCTACAAGAGACTGTTAGTCAAAACTTTAAAAAAAACAAGTTAATGAAAATGGTGAAGAACATTCATAGATGACTTTAAGCAACACATAGGAAGACACTGATGAACTTGCCCAAAACCGAAAATACAAAAATCCCTCACTGCCCGATATATTATATAGCATGGGAGAATTTAACACTAATAATGAGAATGGATGGTATCTTTTCTTTAGTGCTGGATTTTTTGATTTGCTGAAGCTTTCAGTGGAAATAGTGTTTTATGAAACTTTGTCCTGTAATTCTCTCAAATATTTTTCCAACAATACATATATACATACACCCTATCTTCTGGAGCATATTTTGGTGAGTGCTTGGAATCGCAACAAGAGGAAATTAACAATGTTTAACATATGTGAAACTGTGTAAACTGTCTAAATAATATTGAACTCAATTTTTTTTCTTTGAAAAAAAGAAAAAAGTAAAGTGCCTCAGGCTGCCTAGCTAGATAGCCTCACTGGCAAAGGAAAAAGTCATGACATTCCTAATTAACAAAGTCCACTATGGCAACAATGCAAGTCAAATAATTCTATGTAAAGAAACACCCAAAAATTGAAAGGAGGGCAGTACAATAGAATACTTCAGAGCTGCTCATGTTGCCCATTTCTTTCCATATGGAAGTATTCTTTTAAGTATTGATAAAACAGAAGAGGCAAATTTACTTAAAAGGTTACTCTATATGAGGATTTTTTTTCTTTTCTACTCTTGGATTTTTTTCACAGGTCATGCTGAATTGTAATACTAGTGAGTGGTGTTGTCTCCACAAAATATCTGATTGGCAGCATTACATTAACTGGGATAGTAGTTGAAATAACTTTATTTGGCTTTCTATCTGGGCAGCTAGTTGGGAGTTCTTTAGGAGTCTTTTGCTCCCTCTCCTATTCTTTTCAGAAATATCTAAAACCTAATGTTCTCAGAAACCTGATTTGTTACATTTTCTGAGATTTTTAAGCCAAGTCTGTACTGATTTCTGGTGATTGTGCAACTAGTCCCTGCAGTTTGTTGGCAAGATTTTTGGATTTCTTGTATTTTGCTCTTGCCTGCTTCCTAGGGCTGAGTATGACTGGCCCAAGACCACTGGGCTGGCTAAGTTGGGACTAAAATCATAGTCTTCTGTTTTGTAGCCTGATGCCTTAACCATTGCATCAAACTCACATTCTTGCTCCAAGGTTGCTTATATTTACAGCTATATTCATTTAAGCTTTTGATCTTTAAATTCTTCTTACCTCATTTTTCTAAGTATACCTTTGTTTTTATTTTGTGCAGAATTAGAGATAGGAGAGTTAGGACTCCAGGGCTATAGCAACTCTGAGAACACATATTTTGAGTTCCATAAAAAAAACCTTTTCTTTTCATCAGTTCAAAAGATAATTTATTACTTCCTGCCTGTTTTTGGCCATTTGAAGCAACTGACAGAATTGATAGAAATGAAGGTAATCAAAGCAAACATGGGTTTGTCAAAAAAAGATCATGCCAGACAAATCTTACTGCATTCTTTGACCAGCTGACAAAATTAGTGGACCAGAGAAATGCTGTGGATATAATTTACTTGGACTTCAGTAAGGCATTTGATAAAGTAGACCACAACCTATTACTTGATAAGATAGAAAAATGTGAATTACACAGCATCACCATCAGATGGATTAGTAGCTGGCTGATTGTATTCAGCTTGTGGTCCTCAATGGGAACTGCATCTACATGGAGGGAAGTGTGTAGTGGGGTGCCCCAAGGCTCTGTTCTGGGCCCAGTACTCTTCAACATTTTCATCAATGATTTGGATAAGGGGATAGATGGGGAACTCATCAAATTTGCAGACAACACTAAGCTGGCAGGAATAGCGAACACTCCAGAAGATAGGCTTAAAGTATAGAAGGATCTTGACAGACTTAAACATTTGGCGCTATCTAATAAAATGAAATTCAGTGGTGAAAAAAGTAAGGTTCTACATTTAGGCAAGAAAAACCAAATGCACAGGTATGGTATAGATCAGGGGTAGGCAACCCAAAACACTCAAAGAGCCACTCGAACCCGTTTCCCACCAAAAAACAAAACACTAGGAGCCGCAAAACCCTTTTGATATCTAAAATGAAGATAACACTGCATATATCCTTTTTTATCTTTATTATAGGTGTGTGTGTGTGTGTGTGTGAGAGAGAGAGATTGTGTGTGTGTGTGTGTGTGTGTGTATACACACACAAACACACACACACATTAAAAATAAAAGTAAAAATATGACTCTTGGGAATATCCATACTATTAAAACAATGATCACCAAGAGAATGCTTTAAGAGAATAAAATTACATACACACACAGGTAAAAAAAGGATATATGCAGTATTATCTTCATTTTAGATGTCAAAAGAGTCTCTCTCTCTCTGTCTCTCTCCCTCCCTCCCTCTCTGCCCTTGGTCTGCCACTCCTCTTCCCCCACTCTTTCTTTCTCTCTTTCCTCTCTCTCTCTCCCCCTCCCCCCCTCTCTCTCTTTCTCCCCCCCCTCCTATCTGCTGCTCACCTGGCAAGCTTCAAGTTGTTCTCCAACAATCTCAGGGGTAGGCAACCTCATCTCTTTTATGACTCATGGACTTCAACTCCCAGAATTCCTGAGTCAGCCTAGCTGGGCTGGCTAGCTCTCTCCTGCCCTTCCTGCTTCCTGCTTCCTGCAGAGACGCAGCAAAGGGAGGAGCTCCGCCCAGTAAGCTTTTCAGCTCCTCGGAGAACACTGTGAGTGCACTCTCTTTTTACACACGCACACACACACACACACACACAACACACACACAAAACACACACAGAGAGAGAGAGAGAGAGAGAGAGAGAAGCAGGGAAGCGCAATTGCCTCTCTCTGTCTCTGTCTCTCTCTGCAAAGGCAGAGGAGGCTGGGAGCCACAGGGGAAGGCTCAAAGAGTCGCATGCGGCTCCGGAGCCGCAGGTTGCCGACCTGTGGTATAGATGGTACCTTGCTCAATAGTAGCAACTGTGAGAAGGATCTTGGAGTCTGAGTGGACAATCACAGCCAGCAGTGTGCTGTAGCTACCAAAAAAGCCAACACAGTGCTGGGCTGCATTAACAGAGGGATAGAATCAAGATCATGGGAAGTGTTAATACCACTTGGTAAGGCCACACTTGGAATTCTGCATCCAGTTTTGGTCACCACGATGTAAAAAAGATGTTGAGACTCTAGAAAGAGTACAGAGAAGAGCAACACAGATGATTAGGGGACTGGAGGCTAAAGTATATAAGGAACGGCTGCTGGAATTGGGAATGTCTAGTTTAATGAAGAGAAGGATGAGGGGTAACATGACAGCAATGTTCCAATATCACAGGGGCTTCCACAAAGAAGAGGGAGTCAAGCTATTCTCCAAAGCACCTGAAGGAAGGACAAGAAGCAACGGATGGAAACAAACCAAAGAGAAACAACTTAGAACTAAGGAGAAATTTCCTGACAGAACAATTAATCAGTGGAACAACCTGCCTCCAGAAGCTGTGAATGTTCCAACACTGGAAGTTTTTAAGAACAGATTGGACAGCCATTTGTCTGAAATGGTATAGGGTTTCCTGCCTGAGCAGGGGGTTGGACTAGATGACCCCCAAGCTCTCTTCCAACTTTATTATTATTATTAAAAGTCAGCTTTGTACTAGTGTGTGAAGGATTGGGAGTAAAAATAGAATAAAGTTCCATGTTCTGGGTGTGTTTTTCTTCTGCTGCTGCTGCTTTCTTGGAAGTAAAGTTTTTTTCCTTTTCAGTTCTATGGCTTGGCAAAGCTTGTGAGTGGTTTGTTTTTCCACCAATGGGAACATTTGCCTCATTTACTTCCTGGATTCAGGGCAAATGTTCTTTCTCACACTCTCCCCTCCCAGATCATCCATGTCCTGTTCCTGTATGTGTCTACTTATTTTCACTCCATTACCATTATTGGGGGAAAATATTGCAAAACTCATTGCAAAAATGCCAACGTGCCCTATTTTTATCTTAACAATTTAAAAAAAAATGTTTTTGAAGCCAGGATAGTGAGAGCCAATCTGATCTAGTGATTAAGGTGCCATCATTATTATTTCATGTTTGTCCGATAAACATGGCATCTCATCTTTGTCTATGTTATATTTAGTTAAAAGTTTTTGAATAGGCATACCTGGGAAATTCTGGGAATATTCTTAGAATCTGCTCTCTACACATCAGTTTGTGTCTCATCTCAAACATGGAAGAGTTCACTGCAGTAGCAGCAATGCAGATATGCAAGAAAAAAGTAAGATAACCATGGAACACTCAAACATGAACTTTAATCTAGCAGCATTTCCAGACATTTCCCCTTTTAATTCAGTAGATCTCATCTTGGACTTTAAATAAGAATTTAATTTCTTTTAATTCAACTGTGCTCTTATGCAAACTTTGATTTTTAAAACTTTCTGAAAGTATGGTTTCATCCACTTATAATATCTCTCAGTATAATGGATTTTTCCCCAAAGAGGAAAGGAAAATTCCTCCTGTGCTCGTGCAAATCTGATCATATGCTGCTGAAGATTGCTCATGCTGAAATCAGTGACTATTTTAAAATTGCAAAGAAATATTAGGGATTCATACTATTTAGACTACTTGTTTTAATGCAACAAATATTATACACTTGGCATATAAAAACCACAATGCCAAGATTTCTGTAAGTCTTATTATCCAAGAACAGTTTCTCAAAAAAAAGGCAATTTATTTGTTTATTTATTTGTTTATTTTCAGTATTATTGTTTTATCAACTTAACATTCAAACAGATTTATTAAAGCAGCATTCCCCAACCTTTTTGGCTTTGTGGACCAGCAACAGTGGCGGCAGCAGGGGGGGATGGTTTCGCCCACCCACCCACCCTTTACAAAAATGGAGCTTTGCATGCTTGCCTGCTACTTGACTGGCCCGGTTCCAGCCGGGCCTCAGCCTAGTAGCAGGCCGTAGACCAGGGGTTGGGACCCCTGTATTAAAGGATGAAGTTTGTTTACAGTGTTCAGAATCACAAAAATTGACCATATTCAGAATGAAACAAAAATATATCAAAATACATTGTTTCCAGTACCATTTGTGAGTGGAATTGTTCCTTATTTTGTTCATTTCAATAAAATGGTATCTTCGAGCTTCTGATACCTATATATTGTTAAACAATACAGTCAGTTGCATTCAAAACTGATTTGATATGTACTACCAAATTTTGTATGATAACTTTTTTACAGAATAAAAATATGTAAAATGTTATTTTAATAAGGTCCAAATAGCTTCCTGCTATTTATTCATCCAAATAGTTTCCTGCTATTTTGAATATATCAAAATACATTCTGTTTCCATATATGGCTTCTCCTCCTTACAAAAGATACTTCATCTTAACCTGTAGCCTCAAACAAAATATGTTAGTCCCTACTTGTTCATTAAACATATTTCTGTGCCACTCCAAAAAAACAACTATCAACAGCTTCCATAGAAAAAAAAATACAATATGAAACATACCCAGTACAGAAAGCAAAAACACAAGGTACAATATACAAATAAAAGAAAAAAAATGGGAGAAGAATAAGCAATTTGGTACTAGCAGAAATTTTGGGCAACAACTGACGTCACTTTATCAGTGACCTCCTTGCTGGGGCATATTAAGTCCAAAATATCTGGATAGAGGGCTGTTGTGCACTCTTTTTTGCTGCATAGCTTTTGAAAATTTTCTAAGCTCCTACATCTAAATTCCCCAGAGAAAATTTACCCAAGCAAAAGAAAGCCAATGGACAAAAATAAACAGCATCTTTCTATGACTGTATAGGCTTATCTCACTGAGCTTCTTTTGCTATTACCTTCTTTATCAAATTTCTTAACCACCCATCTCCTTCATAGAAATAGTAATAGCCAGGCCCATAATTTCCCAAAAGCATCACAATAGCAAAAACAATGAATTACTTCTTTTGTTTTTGAACAGCACCTAGTGGTATTACTTGCTGCATACCACCCCAAAGTAATGTCTTGAAAATATTATTTGCTTTTTTATACAATCAAATTTCTTCCCTGGATTGTTTTTAGTAGAGTCTGAAAAGTATTAAATATTTTAAAACAGTATTATACGGATATTTCATTGTTTTAATGCTTTGTCACATTAAAATAATATTTTACTAACTGTAAAACTGTATTAACCTATCTTTACCACTGTTTATTTTGCAATAGAATAATACAAAAGAACTGGATTTGTATAAGAACTATAATCTATTTTTGATGTATTCAAAGATAACTTGCTGCTAAAGATTAAAATTCTAGTCACAGAAGGATGAAGAGATAACATCCCCAATTGTAACTTCCTAAAGTAGAAAGAAAGTCAGAAATTTAAGCATGTCTATTTCTCTCCCAAAAACAGAAGGACAAATCTTAACAGGAAAATCACCACTCATTTCTGTTTCACTAACAGGTTGGATCTGGGAGCAAAACTCTTCTAAACCAGAATCATTCATAGTTTGATTTGATTCTGGCTATCTTCTATTTGGACAATGGATCATGCTTAATCTGTTGGAATTTGCTGGAAAAGTGGATGAAACACAATCAAGATTAAGGTTTAACGTGTTATAAAATCTTGCTTACAGAGGTTGTTCTAACAGTAATCTCTTAATTCAAACAATTGGATCATGCTTAATTTGTTGGAATTTGCTGGAAAAGGAACACAATCAAGATTAATGTTTAACACATTATAAAATCTTGCTTACAGAGGTTGTTCTAATAGTAATCTCTTAATTCAAACCATTAAAAACTAAGTACCATGGAACTGAAAAAATAAAGTCAATTAAATATCTTCTGTTTTAGTTCATTTGGGTAGTATAGCGAAAGTAAAAGACTAGAAACTGGTGAGATGGTGCCTCTTTAGATATGTTAACTTCTCATTATTCCTTGCCTCATGGACACTGATAACCTGGTACTGAAGGGATACTAGATTGGGGAAAAATCTTTAATGATTTTCAAGAATACAAGGTATATTAAGCTGAAGAATTGCAATGTCAACCAAGTTTGTGGATACATGAAACATTCATGTAAGTCTTTTTTTCAACAATGATGGAGTAATTTCTTACTATCATTGAGATATTTACAGCTTAATCAATTTACAGCTTTTATCAATCTTTTCCTCATATTTAGTTATCAGTGCATATTTTATGTTCAGTTTTTGATTCACTCTGCAGTTCATTGTTCTTTTATTTTCTTCTGACATCTGGGTCAGTGCTTATGGATTCTTATGGTTCATAACTTTTGCTAACTTATTCACAACCTGGGAAAGAGAATGCAAGAAAGAAAAGTTGCTATAAACAAGTACTGATGATGTTACTTAGCTGGAAAATGAAACATCTGCAAGAAAACAGCTAAGGTTAGAGAGAGCAAAAGACCCCACAGTGCAGTTTCTCTCTCTGATTAAAACTTAATATATTTCCTTCTCCACATGTATAACATTGCAGTGATAACGGTGGTCACTTTCTCATCACCTCATTTATATACACATTACCTATGCTTTCACTGATCTTTCATACCCCAGCTGTTTCTCATTCCCATTTTCTTCTTCTGTCAGATGGGTATGTCCTGTCAATAAATAACACAATAATTAGTACTTCTGAACTTAAATTTAACTTGAAATCAATCACTTTTATTTTTAAGGTAATACTCACTTTGAAATTGCTAGCGTTTCAAAAGACGGTATCAGGTTTCAAACAAATTCTTGAGACTTCAACATTTGGCTCTTTCTAACAAAATGCACTTCAATGAGGAGAAATATTGGATTTTGACTTTAGGTAAGAATAATCAGATACACAAGTACAAGACCGGTGGTATGTGGCTTGGCCCCAGTCTTTGTTAGAAGAATATGATCCATTGTCCAATGCAGTTGCCAAAAGATCAAATGCAATCTTGGGCTGTATCAAAAGTTGTATAGTGTTCTGATTATGTTCCACTCTATGTTGCATTGGTCAGGCCACACCACAAATGTTATGTCCAATTCTGGTCGGCACCATACAAGAAGGATGCTGAAGACCTGGAAAGAGAAGAGAGACCAAAAATGAAGAGGGACCTGGAAGATAACTCCTAAGCAGAATGTTTAAAAGAACTGGGCATGTTTAGCCTAAAAACTCTCCTATGTGGAGACAGACTTACAATACTTTAAGGGCTGTCACAGGAAAAGAGGGCATGCATTTATTATGCCTATCACCTAAGGGCAGAACAAGAACCAATCTTTACAGAATGAAATCCAAACTTTTATGGAGGAATTTCCTTAATGTGAGGAATTTTAAATAGTGTAGAACCTGCCTCCTGAAGTGGTGGAAGCTCTATCAGTGGAAGTTTCAACGAAGGTCAGATTGCCATTTGTTGGGAATGGTCTGAGGATCCCTGCTCTGGCAAGGGATTGGACTAAAAGATTTCCAAGGGTCCTTCCAATTCTGTGATTGTGAATTGCTTGGTCTGATAGAACATTATATGAAGGTAAACAAAATGAAGTTAGTTATAAGCAGCGGCGCTGTTGGCCAGCACAAAATTAGGTGGGCATCAAGCATAGCTGGTTTTTAACGATGGCAATACCAAAATACCCAGAAACACTAGATTTTTCGTTTCAGTCTTTCTAGGACGCAAGTTCTCTGAGGGAGTGATAGGATTAAAGCTATGAAAAACTGGACGAGATCCGCACCTACACCAGAAGAACCTGTCCCTCGGCTCAAACCGCAACTCTGTCCAGGACTAGCAAAGGGTAGAAAGCTAATTGCGGCTGCGCAGGGATACCTCCCCCACCGAGATTCCGCTGCGCTATCGGCCTGTCTGCGCAATGCAGTCTAATCTGCGTCCACATTGCTCCGCCGGCCTCTCCCTTCCTGCTTCTCAAGTAAACCGCGACTTTTGCCCTATCAGGTCTGGCGTTGAACTCCGCGTTGCCAAGACTTCCCCCTCCCCCAGCCTGCCATTCTTCGGCGGCTCATCCGCCCCGTGCCAAAGTCTAACGAGTGTAAGGGGAGGACACCATCTCAGCGAGCACGCGAACCGAAGATAGCGGCGGCAAAAGCATTCGACCACAGGTGGAAAGAAGGGAACCGTTAATACACGTTAACGGTTAACGCCCGCTAGCGACAAGCGAGACGTCATGAGCCCTCCCTCCCCCAAGGGGTGATGGAACTTGTAGTTCTGCCGGGAAAAATCACATGAAAGCCCTGGCCCCGTCCCCAACTGAAGAAGGGCGGTGGGTTGTGTTCTCCTGCGGAGTCTTACCAGCAATTCGCGTGTTGTAAAGCTGCATTAAACATGATATAATGGGTCCTTATGTGACCCCAACAGATGGTATTCTTGTAAACCAATTGAAAGTTATGGAATTTTACACACCCGTGGTACAAAAATACAGATGCTTGTCCGATGGAATGTGCGGCATGAAAACATCCGCAATATTTGTCAGATGGATCTGATCTATTTCAAGGAAAACATTTATATAAATATTTTCGTTACTTGTTCTTAAGTTACTTTATAAAATTAGGAGTAGCTTAACTTTCTAAGAATACAAAAGGTAAAACGGATCAAGCTGTGGCTCAGAAATGTGTTTTTAAATTATGCCTTGCATCTGAAGAATACATAGACAACGTTGACAACTTCAAGTCTAGTTGTGAAAATGCATCCGTGTGCGGTAGATAGATTAAAAGAAATAACATTGCAATCCATCGCTTTTAGAAACTTAAATCATGTTTTCTTTTACATTGTTTACAGTTTCGTACTTCAGCGCCACGGTGGTGCAATTCTGGCAGAAGTCCAGTTCAGAAATACTTGTACGGTATTAATTTTTTTTTTAAAAAAAAACTACTATTCCCAGCAGGCTCCAGGGAATGAGTTGCGAAATAAACGAAGGGCTATATATATATAAGCTGCCTCTCGGGCAACATGAACTTCAGACCGGCCGGCGAGTTTCGCGGGCTGTAGTTCTTCGTTAGGCGTATTTTTTTATTCAGCATTATTATTATTTTTCCTCTCATCGGAAAGCTGAGAACAGCACCTGTTCCATTCGATTTTCTCCGGTCTTTCCATTCTTTTGTCCGACCATTGCAATGAGACCCAATGAAGCAGTGGAGGCATCGTTCGCCTCGGAGATGCGCTTGGACGAATGGAAGCGGTGGGCGGCTGAGTGCATCGACGAGTCCTCGGAGCGCCTGGGCGAGCTAAGCCGGGAGATCTGGAGCCACCCGGAGCTGGCTTACGAGGAGCACCAGGCTCACGCCGCCCTGACGCGCTTCTTCGGCGACCTGCCCGTCTCCTCCTCTTCGGGCGCCTGGTCGGTGCAGCGCAGCTACAAGCTAGAAACGGCCTTCCGGGCGGACTGGAAGTGGGACGGGGCGTCCTGCTCTCCCGCCGAAGCGAGCCAGGCTCCCCCACAGCCACCGCCGCCTCTGCTTCGGCTGGGCTTCCTGTGCGAATACGACGCCCTGCCCGCCATCGGGCATGCCTGCGGGCACAACCTCATCGCCGAAGTGGGCGCTGCCGCCGCGCTGGGCCTGAAGGGCGCTCTGGAAAGCCTCCGCCAGAGCCCTGCCGGCCTCCCTCGCCAGGCGCCCGCTGTTAAGGTGAGGAGCGAGCTGGCATCTTGGTCCTCTTCGCCGCCCTCCTTGGTTTTAGTGCCTAGGCAGCGCACGGGATTATGAAGTGCTAACTTTAGATTTTGAGCATATCTCCCCACCCTCCTTTTTTTTTTTGTAAATTCTTATTTTTATCGAGAAAGTTATGCATTTTCAAAATATTGTCGGTCTGAGAGGAGCACACCCAGTAAACAGGCTTCCCTGGCTGGGTTCCCTTGGCGCGATTTTTTGTTGTTGTTTTCCAGACCCTGATATCTTGTCATCTTCTCGTTTTAGATCACAGTGCTGGGTACCCCTGCTGAAGAAGATGGAGGAGGCAAAATAGACTTAATTAAAGCTGGGGTTTTTGATAGTCTAGATGTTGTTTTCATGGCTCATCCCTCTCAAGAAGATGCAGCTTATTTACCTGATATTGCAGAACATGAGTGAGTACAAAGGAGTGGGAAAGCTTTGTTGATAGTGTCTGAAAAGGGGTCTGTTGCCCTTTGATCCCCTTCTAGATTTTTTTTTTTGAGATCTATTAGTTCAATCCTTTTTCATCCTTTGTGTCAGTTCATGAGCAACATGCTACAACACATTTATGGAGTTCAGCAGAACTTTATAAGAATTTCTGCTTCATTTTTCTGTTCTGTGCTCAGTATATAATATCCTGAAGAATCTCCTTGGGAAGAAAATAGTAGATGGTGTAGAAAGGGACATTAGAAGCCCATGTATCCATTATTATTGGCTTAGAACACTTGCATTATTAAAATAAATGCATGGATAGGATGGAGGTAATACATTTTTTTGTTTTGACTGACATTTATAGCAACAGCATCTTTTTCTTGAATTATTCTTCCTGCTCCTACTCAAATGGCATTTAATCCTATTCATGGTGGATACTCATGATCCTAGGTAAGCAGCAGTGGTCAGAAAGAACAGTTGCCACTATTTCCAATAACTCACTTGTCTTCAGTGTTGTTATCTTAATATTTGAAGGAGGCAGAATGCCAAACTTTTGACTCCTCCAGAGAGGGAGGAACAATATCTATGATAAGCAAAAGCAGCCATAGCTTACCCAGGGCTCTGTGTTGTTTTGCTAAAACACTGGGGGTAAGCATTTTCAGAAATCGCTTCTATAAAAAATAATTATTTACACGTAGTCCTTGACTTATGACAATTTGTTTAATGGCTGTTCCAAGATATGGTCCTGAAAAAAGTGACAACCAGTCGCCATACTTACAATTGTCAGAGTCCCCATGGTCACATGGGGCCCCTGGTTTAGGCAACAGAGTTTTTATATATCCATCAAGATCATCTTCCTTGCTCTCTACATGTTCCTTATACTTATCAAACATTTTATAGAAAGTTATTTCTCATTTACTTCTCAAAAGAGCCAGCACTGGATTTCTAGTTTAGAACAATTACATTTGTAATACAGAATCCTAGGAAACAAAAGTATATTTTCTAACAAATAATTGTTTAAAGCAGTGGTTCTCAACCTTTCTAATGCCGTGACCCCATAATACAGGTCCCCATGTTGTGGTGACCCCCAAGTGGGTGTGGCCACCAATAAGAGGGAGTAGGACAGCTAGGGAAAAGGGAAAAAAATGGCGGACAGCGTGGTTTGGCGACCCCCGTGAAATGGTCGTTTGACCCCAAATGGGGTCCCGACCCACAGGTTGAGAACCACTGGTTTAAAGTGTTTATACACCACATCTCATTTTAGCTAAACAAAATTATAAAAAAGTACAGATACAACCTACCTTTTACTTCAGCCATAGCACCAGATATTGCCTGCCAGTAGAATTCCTTGTCAAAGGCCCTATTCTGTGTGCTTCTCTTCATCTGAAAAAGCTTGCAGGCCATCTTATCTACAGATTGATAATAGTATAAAAGATGCAGAAGAAAGGAAAAAGCTGAGATGGAGCAGAGAGAAGAAAGCAAGCTCAGATAGTAGTTCTTACCAATGTATTTAATAGAAAAACAAACCTAAACTCTATATGAATATGTTCATATCTTAAATTCTGCATTTCATTTCATGCTTGCTTTAATTAAAATGTGTTTGTAGACATAAATAGACACAAGAATTCAGGGATACTGGAAGGCTGAGTTTACCAACAAATACTTATTCTGTAAATGGAATCTTTGGTTCTTAATAGATTGGCCTGTTTCATTCTTTTTCATGCTAATAAATAAAACTCTGGCTTGACCCAAATAAATCAAGCTCTTAAGTCTCCTTTGCAAGTTGCTTCTTTATTGTATTCAGTACAATGCTAAAAATGTAAGAAACTGATAACACAGCACAAACCTACACAGTTGTTTTGTGCTCTGGAAAAGCATATTCTGATGTATTCGTAAAGTTCGTTTAGGAAATGATTTTGAAAAAAACATTTAAAATTGTGTTTTAGTTTTAATTTTAAAATTACTGTGTGGCACATTTATTGTATGGGTTATATATAGCTTCTAAAACAACGTTATGAAATGTGTGGATCTTTGCTAATCTTAAACATTTCTGCTTTTTGTCTTTTTTTGAGTTTTGATACTCATCATTTTTATGAAGGTGCATTTCACGGGATGGGAATTGATTATGTACCATCAAGCCAATGTCAGGTCTTAACTACTACATTATATACCAGTGGTGGTGAACCTATGGCATGGGTTCCAGAGGCGGCACGCAGAGCCCTCTCTGTGGGCACGCGCGCAGTCGCCCCAGTCCTAGGCCTTCAGCTGGGTTCTATAAAACCTTTTCGCTTTCGGTCTCCGCCGCTGTGTGCAAAAAAAAAAAAAAAAAAGGTTCAATCAGTCAATTTCAGCTTCTCGTGGGGAAAAAAAAGATCTTCCAAAGTTGGAATTGATTGATTGAACTTTTTAGTCCCACTCAGTCTGCCGTTACCACTGCAGCCATGCCCACCCAATTGGCCACACCAGCCAATGGGCCACACCCACCCGGCACTCGACAATGCATAAGTGGGTTTTGGGTTGCAGTTTGGGCACTCAGTCTCTAAAAGGTTCACCATCACTGTTATATACTATATAAAAATTTAAAGACCTATACATAAAATCAGTCCAGATGGGCATCTATCACTCATCATAGAACGCCCAGAATAACTCAGTTGTCAGGAATATCTGGAGCCTGGAACAATTGAGATCAGCCTAATTTCTTAGTGAAGACTATTCTACTATTTTAGAATATTCTGGCCTAGAAATTGGTTCAGATTAATGTACCTTGGTCCTCCATGGAGATCCTCTATGACTCTGAGAAATTTGAATGACTCTGAGAAATTAATCTGTATAACTACACTTCTAGTGCAGGTGTATTGTGTTCTGTAAAACATTTTTTTTCCTTACTAGAAATGATTTCTGGGTTAGCATATAATAGTAAACATTAGTGAGATATGTTCATTTTCCTGTCCTAGGGTCAGCAAATGAGTTAGTCTTATCTGGGTTTGCTCTGCACTGGATACCGGCCAAGAACTATCGAAGGAAACAAACCACATTTGACCAAACAAACCACATTTATTTTGCTTACGTTTTAGATAGGCTCTGGCTTAAACAATAACTCATGGATTAAACAAATCCTGCCTTCATGCGAGCAAAGTTACCATAGAAAAACCAGAGGATGTTTTCATCTTATAGTTCATACCTGTTTAAAATGTTCTTTTTAAATGGTTTTGCTAAATGTTTTAGGTACTAATTCACTAATTTTTTCTAAGCTTAATTTTATGTGCTATATCAGTTCTCTGATATATCTGTTTTAGAGATCTAATTTTTGCAGTGCCAAAGATTAGCTTTAACTATGGAAGCTCTGTATCACCTTCCATTCATAGCCTTGTGTTGATTTGCTGTTTCAGATCTTTGTAGAGCTTCGGAGTAATACCATAGAATGCAGCATGCACTTAATCTCCTTAAAAAAAAATTTCATGAAATGAATCCAAAGGGATTTTTTTTCCTTTAAAATTGTTCAAAAACAAGTGATGACTTTTATTTCCTAGTGTGACTGTGAAATACTATGGAAAAACTTCTCATGCAGCTGCTTACCCTTGGGAAGGACTAAATGCATTAGATGCTGCTGTACTTGCATACAACAATCTGTCCCTTTTAAGACAGCAAATGAAACCGACATGGAGAGTACATGGTGAGACCTTCCTTCACTCTTATGTCCAACAAGTTATATCAGAAACTGATTAAGCAAATGTGCTGTATCTGACATGCTAATGTTACAAAATGAACAGCTGCTTATGTTTATTAGCTTTAATTATTTCAATGTGGTATTAAATGCATAACGGTAAAAACTCTGCTTTTCATATGAAAATATGAAGCAGCTGATCCTATCAAATTAGCTTTTAAATAATCATTAAATTCACATTTTCAGAATATAAAGTTAAATGAGTGTATTTACTTTTAGTTAAATGTAAATAAAATAAAAATGTAGCTTTAATCCTACATTCTGAAGTTAGTTCAATTCAAAAACTAAATATGGCCTTTGACCTAGGAAGAACTTGCATTCATTTTCTAGAAATATAAAGGAAATACATTTATATGCATTTAGAAATAATCATTGTGAAATTGGTAATTTTATTATAAACGCTTAATTTGAGGACATTTCTTGAAAGAGACTCAATTATCTTGCATCCCAAAGATAATTATTGTGGATGTTTTAAAAATGAAGTTATTATGTGCAATATATGGCATACCTAATAGCTGATACCATTTTTAATAATAATAATGAAAAATGGAGTTAAATAGAGTCCATATGGTTTCCTTAAATATGATATATAAAAACCTCTCACAAATCATACAAAAAGCAAAAGATTCTTGGTTAAGAGATAAATAATTTGTTTTTCCCAATATTGTTCCTATGGCATTTTAATCATCATTTATCCATGCCATTTGATCTTGTTTTAATAGAATATTTGGATTTTATTTCCAGTTGTTGGGGTGTTCCTTTCAGAATATTACATAATAAGAGTCTTGACATCTATTTTGACCCAGATAAAACATTTATTTAGTGACTTATTGGTGGAGGCAAATTATCTCCTTTTCCGAATTATTGTTTCTTTTCTGTATGTCGTCCATCCAGTTTCTGCTTTGTGAAGGTTTCATTTCTTACTCTCTTATTAAGTTAGAATGACATAGCTTCTGAAAGTCAGAGATCATTAATTTAAATTTTCTTCAATTTATGTACTGCTCCCTTCAAACAGTAATCTGTACAGTTCACTAATGCTGCAGGAAAGAGTAAGTGATGGTGTGTTTTGTCCCCCAGGTGATCCACCTCCTCAAAATTGCATGGAAGTTGGTGGGGGACTTCGAGGAAATCTGTAAATATTGCTATGAAACTCTCTTTTTCCAGGTGCAAATCTGTGCTGATACTATTTCTTTTTCTTCTGTCCATTTTGGGTCCATGTTAGCTTGATCGTAATAAAGTTATTGTAGGTGAATTGTAGCTGGATAGCCTCCGCCAATTGGAATCTCTTTTTCTTCCAACCTGGTAGATGTGTTGGCCAGGTTAGGTGAGGAGGGTTGCCTTCTGCAGCACATCTGGGGAGGCCCTGATTTGACTCATTGGCCTAACCACCTTTTGGCTTCTTCCTTTGCCTTCTCGGCAGAGCAGGTGATTTGGTCCTGCGGAGCCCGACTAGAGACTGCCAACTTGGTCTCATTTGTGCTGGTGGCAGATGGATCCGGAAGAGGGTGCAGGTGTGAAGGGGAGAAAATGCCATTAGCGATACTCCAGTCAAGAAATTTGGGGTCAGGAAGACTTCCCCTTCCTATTATTATTCCTTCTGTTCTAGAGAAATGCACTCTGCTCATGACCAGAAACACCATGAAATCATTCACCTGGCTTTGAGGGGAATGTTGCTGCAACGCTCTATCCAGCTCCTCAAAAATCTCTCCATAATGGCTGCGGAATTCCAACCCTGGTTCTTCCCGGACACAGAAAGGACTCATGGCTTCTGCAGCCACAGTACCTTAACATTCCTTGACCCTGGTCCTCTACAAATGCTTATATGCCCCAGTGCCCGCTACGACTCGGTCAGTGTGCTCAGTACCCAGCGGGGCAGAAGCCCTCATCCCTGCAAATAAGCAGAGGAGACAGCAGTGGCAGTGGAGGGAGGTGAAGCCACCACCTGTCCCTGATTCCATCTTCACTGCTGCCCTTGCCTCACTTTGCCCAGTTGGAAGGGCGAAGCAATTGTGGCGGCAGCAGTGGTTGTGAGAATGGGAGGCCCCACCTCCTTCCCACCCACCACTCCGCCCACTACCACCACCACCACCTGCCCAGCTGCCTTTCCTTGCTCACTCGCTCACACACCCTCTGGTTCTCCTTCTGCGCACTCACAGTGAGTTGTTCCCGCAACAAATTGTCCACATTGAGTTGTGCAATAACATGGCAGCAATGAGTTGACGAGGGGACTTGGTAGTGGTGAGGAGGCTGGACCCAGCTGCCTGCACTGAGTTCTTCTAGAATATTTATTTGCCTATGAATTACTGTAGTGTTTGATAGGAGAGAAAATAGATTAAACTTGTTGGGGTTAGAATTACAGTGATTTCCCACAGAAAAACATGGGGCACATCTAAGATAAGATAAGATAACCTTTATTGTCATTTTTTTTACTGTGGGCACAACGGCACACATCAAAAATGAAATTTAGTTGCCCACTCTCAAAGTGAAACACATCTGGAGAAAAAAATAGAGAAAATCTTCAAAATATGCAGCCAAAAATCTGTGGATGTAAGAAACAAAGGTGGAATACAAAGTTATACACATATGCAAATCAAAAGTCTCTTTTGTTGAAAGATAAATAATTGTAAACTACATTGTAGATATATCAGGTGTGTCATGTCAGACTTCAGTATTTCTTCCTGATTGGAATATGTTTATTACCATGCATTATGAATTTTGATTTTTAATAATACTTCAATTATTATATATTTCAGTTTCATGACTAAATTGTTTCTATATTAGAATGAGAGTAAATTTGAGATTAAGTCATGCTTTCAAATCAGAACAGGGATGTATAAAGTAATTCCTACTCTTGAAACTGTTTGGCATTAACTGTTTTTTCTTGGGGTATATGTTAGAATTAAGTAAATGAAAACAATTGTATGTATGCGAGCATTTGCATGAACACACACACACACACACACACACATTTCACCATGGTACATACCTAATCATGTCTGGAAAAGAATCGGGTTAGAATCGATGTGTAATATACCATGGATGTCCTTAGCTGAACTTGTAATCAGCAGGTATAATACAAAAATATGTTAGCACTGTTCTTCTTTATAACATAAATATATTGAACAGAAAAAAATAGAAATGTGTATTTGAAAATACACTGATACGGATGCCAAACTAAATATGACATTTTAAATTGTTCAGTTTTAATCCAAAGTTGAGGCCCTAAGAATTAAAATATGAAAGGATGGTTTTATCTTAATTTCTTCCTAATGTACTGTAAATATATTCAGCTTCTGCTTGATATTTCTTATATAGCTCTGCTTGGTATAGGAAGAGACTTTTTTTTCAATTTTAAGAGCAATAAATAATTAACAGAGGAATACAGCAGAAAATTGAAGTTTCTGATTTTGGAATTCAGATGTCCATTGTTGCCAGAGTGTCTTCAGTGTGAGTTCTCATTGATCTACTGGCAAAGCAGAGAGCCTTGGATCAAGTGCTTAAATAACATGACTTTTCTGTTTAGCTATTTTGCAGTAAACCTCAGAAAACCTAGGTGCCAAACTAATTTCGATTACCTGTTTCTTCTTTGTTGTAGGTATAATAAAGAATGGAGGTGTGAAACCTAATATCATCCCTTCTTACACTGAATTAGAATTTTACTTGCGTGCTCCTTCCTTAAGGGAACTCTCTACCTTAAAGGAAAAAGCAGAGAATTGTTTTAAAGCTGCAGCTCTAGCAACTGGTTGTGAAGTAAGACTGCTAGATAACTTTCCTAACCTGATATAAGCTGATTTTTTCAAATAAATTAAAACATGGATTATTTGAGCTGAAAGAATAGCAGTGCAATGTAAAGTTTGCCTTTTGTATAATGGTATTTGTGAATAGTTCAAGTACAGGTCAAAACTAGAATGTAGGGAAGAGATGGCTAAAAGTCTTCTGAAACTACTATAATTAATTGTATCAGTTTTGGCAAAAATCATAAATTATTATCAATTATTTAGCTAGTAGATACTATTTCCATTATTTTACATTCAGATAGTCCTTGACTTAACAACATTTGTTCAGTGATCATTCAAAATTATCACGATACTGAATGATATGATTGACAACCTATACCCAAAGTTGTGGCCACTGTAACGTTTCTATCATCACATGAATAAAATTCAGGTGCTTGGCAATCTTCATGACTGACCACAAGGATGCTGCAGCTGCCTCACCCGCCCATCTTGCCCCCACACCACCCCACTAGGTCCCTAGGGCCTACTTCCAATCTGGCTGGATCTTACACCACTGGATTTCCTCCCCCCATCACACTTTGCTCCACTTAACTTTTTTGAAAATCCCCTTTTCCTAGGAGAAACAGCCAATATGCTTCAAGTCCTTCCTATATAGAACCCTCTTGGTGCTATCCGGGAGAGAATTTTGAAATTGGCTGCAGTTCTCATAATCTGAGAATTGCAACTGTTTCCAAAATGGCATCTGCTTCTATGATAGTACCATGTGGCCTCAATATAGGAAGGCCATGCAGCTGATCGGCTGGTTTTCTTTCTGAAAGGCGAGATCTAAAGATCACCTTTTGGAAAGAAAAGCAACTGATCCGATATATGGCTTTCCTATATAGAGACCATATCATTGCATCTCAGAGTGGATGCCATTTTGGAAGCAGCAGAAGCTACTTTATGCCATTCCAGGGCAGGTGCCATTTTGGAAGGAACCACAATTCTCACAATCCAACAATTTTTATCCCTATAGGATAAAAAGGGTGGATTAACCCTAATCAGTTACAAATAAAGCAATAAGTTCTTATATGTTTACTATAGTATAAGTCCAGTTGTATTAACTATGATTTAATTTCAAGTACCTGTGTAGAAGATTTAAATTTTATTGTTATTTTGAGTATACTAGGGTTGATTTCTGAGTGAAATGTGCCTAGGATTGAATAATGAACTCTTTATTTCCCATGGCCTGATATTTCCACAGAATTTTTTTTTTTTTTTTGTCTAGGTGGAATTACAAGATAGTGAAAATGATTTCTACAATGTGCTTCCTAATAAGACTCTACAAAAAAATTACAAAGAAAATGGCAAGAAGCTTGGCATAGACTTCATTTCTAATGACAACTTAAATGAGTTAACAGGTAAGTATACAAATATACAATTTGTATTGAAGAATTTTTAAACAAGTTTAAAAACAGTACAAATATTAGAAAAGACAAGATAGTGAATAAGAAAGAAAATAGAAAAAGAAATAAAACAGAAGAAGAAAAGAAAACATTATAAATGAGTTCTGAGCTTTTTGACAGCAGTTATAAATGCATTTATATTTTACCCTCTCTAGAGTTACATCATAATTTCCTTCTTTCCATAAACTATCCTCTCTAATATTCAAAGCCTTAAATTCCAAGTTCATTTTTCTTTTTTATTTGAGCAAAATGTCCATAAGGGGTTTCAAGTCATTAGTAAATGTATGTTGATTTTATTCCAATAAACAAGTTAATTTTGCCATCTGTGTCACTTTCACTAACGATTCTTCAAGAATATAACTTCTTTAGGCATGGCACCTTGGTCAAATAGAAATACTATGAATACATAACTGAACAGAAGCAGATGTAAATCTCTATAGGGTACACAAAATTAATATCTTTTGCAGATTTGGATTCTGCTTACTATATATGTGCAGCTGTTTTCATATTCAAAATCTTTAAAAAGAGAACATGATAAGTACAAAAGTTTTGGCACCTATTCACTTGATTTTATACTTTATTATTATTATTTTTTTAAAGCTCAAAAAGGAGATTGACTATCTAACCTCTCAGATGATTATTGTTGTTCTATTTTCAGCAACTATAAGTCCCTCAGCAGCTGTCTGAGCATTTGAAAATGAAGATAGTTTACTTCAACGAAGCGGAGAAGGCTTTTTTTAAAAAAATGAGACAAAAACCCTATAAACACTTTCAGCTAGCAACTTAAGAAATAAAGTTAAGATATGAAAGTTACATGGAACTTTGAAGTCTGAAATACAAAAATAATCTTTGCTTCTCTCAAACTAGTCAGATCTGCCAAAAAAAATCCACAGATCACAGCAAACTTTGGTGCAAAGTTTGGTTAGCACTGAAATAGTTGTCTCAGATTCATTTAGTACAAGGGCAATTCGGAAATAAACCTCCGTTTGGTTATCCATGACAGACACTCGCAGATACAGAACTTTTATTATACACATTAGAAAACTACAACATTACATTACTTATCAACATAATCACCATTCAAATGGAGGCACTTGTCATAATGTCTTACAAGGTTTGAAATTTCTTAGTAGTTGCTCAGTGCCAGATCTGGGCTATTGGAGGGGGTGATCAAAAACATCCCAACAGAACTGCTTCAAAAGTTCTTGGGTGCATCTAGTGATGTGCAGGTGAGCATTATCGTGAACCAACACCACACTGGAAGTGGTGCCATAAAAAATCCCGCCAAATGTGAAGATACCAAAGGAGTAATAGTAGTGAAATTCTTGGAGTGTAGTTCGACCATCAATTCAGAAGTCTACTGTGAAACGTTATGAAAATTCAGACAAGCCATTCATAACAAGCGTCGGTGCATGCTGACTTCCAGTATGGTGTTTGTTCACAATAACGCTGCCCGCACACCGCTAGATGCACCCAAGAACTTTTGAAGTAGTTCCGTTGGGATGTTTTTGATCACTCCCCCATAGTCCAGATTTGGCACCAAGCGACTACTACTAAGGAATTTCAAACCTTGTAAGACGTTATGACAAGTGCCTCAATTTGGATGGCGATTATGTCGAAAAATAATGTTGTAGTTTTCTAATATGTATAATAAACGTTCTGTATCTGCGAGTGTCTGTCATTGATAACCAGACAGGTTTATTTCTGAATTGCCCTCGTATATTGTTCATACAATAATTATCTGCATGGGAGAGTTATCAAAAGAAACTATTCTTCTGACCTCATCACATTTGTCATCTCCTAAATTATGCCAAAGCAAATCTCAATAAGTCTGAAACATTTTGGCATCCGTTAAACATGGGTGTGGCTTTATTATACTTGTAGGATGTATGAAAGCCAGTGACCTAGAAAATACTGTGCAGTTGAGAATGGGTTTAATGAAATATGTATATTTCTTAAAAGCTAATATCCCACAGTCAGCAAAGAAGCCAAAAAGATGTTGCATATTTTAGAAATACTGAAACATACATCCAGAATTATCAAGACATTTTTACAAGAAACAGTCCCAAGACATCAGTATTATCAAAAATCTGTGGGGACCTTTGGAACATGCAATGCATAAATGAGATCTGACTTAAGGATATTCCTAAGCTAGAAAAATTCTATAAAGAAGAATGGAAAAAAATCAAAAGCAAGAATAGATAGAAAGCAAAAATAGCAGGCTATCCAAAACATTTGGAAGCTGTTTTCTTCTTTCAAAGGAGGTGTCACCTAATGTTGATTGACAGGATGACCAAACTTCTGTACCTAAATTCAGTTTGTTTATGCTGAATGGTAGGCTGGCCATACATTCAGTAATGAGGGGTTAGAAGTGTCGATTTTTAACAAGGGTTCTTGTTTCTTCATTGTTTCAATTTCCCAAGTTCTTAAAATGGAGGGATAAAACCTTAGAAATCCTATCATTTGATGTATTAAAAATGCATCTTGGTACTTAGTGTGTGGAAGAGGATCTATACAGGAGCTGAATATTTTTATTTGCTGTACCCTTTAATAATATTTTTATTTGCTAAACCATACAATAATATTTTATCTTGTAGACTGTTTGGTATATTCCAAAACCTAAACATGTTTTGGCTCTCTTTAGGTTCTACTGACTTTGGAAATGTTAGCTATGTGGTCCCTGGAATTCACTCCTATTTTTACATTGGTTCTGATGCATTAAACCATACTGAGCAGTATACAAAAGCTGCAGGTTAGTAGTTAAAAGTGTGTATATCTTTCACAATAAAAAAACTTTGAAAACAGTGTGGCAAAATGCACATGGAATCAAATTTGCATGATTACATTATTCTGTCATGACAGCCAGTGCCTTTTGAGAGTGGTAGAACAAGACTGATGGTAAGTACCAGAGGCGTGCAGTATTTAGATCCAAAGACAAGGATGCACATCTCTACCAAGAAAACAAGAAAAAATATCTTCTTTGGTCTAGTAAGCTACCCAGATATGTTCTCTATTGGGTAAAAAGCATGGCCTCTTTACCAACTTCTTCAGTCATTCTCTCCAATGAGGCCAGTATTTCAGGATGTAAACGGAAGGGATAGAAATGGGTGCCTAATTTTGGTGCTAAGTTCATGTGTTCAGATTATACTTGCATTTCCTTTCTACCCATTACTGAGAGTTATATTCTGTGCATAAGAAGGATTAATTTTCTTCTCAGATCTGATGGCTTTACAGCAGCTGGCTCTAAACTGGACATAAAATGAGTATGTGGAATTGGTAACTCCCACGCCCATTATCTTCGTTTCATCTTGTTTTCTAAGTTGAGGAGGAAAGGCAGAACCTGAGAAAGGCAGCTTTTCCAACTAAACTGTTAAAGTAGATGCATCCATTTTTCCCAAATCTGCTGGCCATTCAGGCAAACCAGAGCATCCTGTGAGCAGAGTTCTTCTCTCACAGGTACTGGATGCAACTCAATGCAAATGTATAAATACATTTTTAGTTGAATAATGTGGATTTTACATTGGTAGATAACTCTGCATCTGTAAGAGAAGACTGTTCTTTAGCCTCTGTTTGCAGTGGAATTGAGATTGCAATCTTTTAAAAAGGAAATTGTTTTAAACATCCCTTCAGATGTTTAAATATCAAATATCTACAGACCCCTCACATCTTGGACATAAACTATTTCAACGTCTTCTCTCAAGACGACACTATAGGGCATTACACACCAGAACAACTAAACATAAGGACAGTTTTTCCCCCATGCCATCACTCTGCTTAACAACTAATTCCTAAAACACTGTCAAAGTACTTAGTAAAGCTGCATTAGTATAATAGCCATCTTTCCTATTTCCTATCATCTTATATCTATAACTTGTATCTTACAATTTATATTGTTTTTTAGTATCCTAGATTTATATTGTTTGCTTAGCTAGAATTCTATGACCACCACTAAGTGTTGCATCTTATGATTTATGATAAAGTGTTGTATTTTATGATTTACGATGAATGTATTTTCATGTTGTTTATGATTGTGATTATCGCTATTACTTATATGTACACTGAGAGCTTATGCACCAGAGACAAATTTCAACCACACTTGGCCAATAAAGAATAAAGAATTCTATTCAGATTTGAAAAGACCCTATATAACTCTTGTACTGAAATGAAATCTCTACCTTTTATGGATTTGATTGTCCTAGGATCAGAAGAAGCTCAGTTCTACGCCTTGAGAGCAGCTAAAGCTTTAGCTATGACTGCCTTGGATGTTATTTTCAAGCCAGATGTCTTGGAAAAAGTTAGAGAAGATTTCAGACTAACGAAACTGAAAGAAGAAAGTCATTTGAATGTTCCTGGAAATGCAAAAGGACCAGATAATGGTATTGGAGGAGAATGTGCATCACATTGAAGTAATATAGCATATTACAACGTTAAAAAAACTATGGAAGGTCCAGGACTGAGCTAATTCTAGGGAATATTTTTAATAATTGGAAAGATATTGAAACCATGTATTTTTTCCCAATAGTATTTTTGTCTAAAATTATGTCATTTGTCTTAATTTCAGACAAAACTACATGATGCAATTCTGATTGAACGTAAGATGAATCTTAGACTTTTGAACTGTTGCAAGTGCTAGTATGATTTTTTTTAAGGTTATTTCTGTACCCATTGTTCTAATATCAGAGGGAGCCATGCTTAGTATATATGGAGAGCTAGTTTGGTGTAGTGGTTAAGGTGCTGGCCTAGAAAGCAAGAGGTTGTGAGTTCTAGTCCCACCTTAAGCACGAAAATCGGCTGGGTGACTTTGGGCCAGTCACTCACTCTCAGCCCAACTCACCTCACAAAGTTGTTGTGGGGAAAATAAGAGGAAGAAGCAGTACATGGTATATTCTGTGCCTTGCCTTCTAAAAAAATTAAGTCAAGATAAAAAAATCTAACGAATAAAAATAAACAAAATCATCAGGAAAGTTAATATATTTTATTAAGTTACATGTAATTGAATTATGATTTTTGCAAAGGGGATACCAAAGGTTAGGCATTGTTTGAAGGATGTGCCTGGGTTTTCAATATTAGAAATAACTAAATAAACATAAATGGAGCTTAGTTTTCAAAATGCAACATTTTTCATTATCTCTCAACTTTCCTGGAAGGCTAGTTTTAATCACTTGATATTTCATGCCTGAAATGCATTCCTATACTCTTGTTCTGCACAATTTTTGAATCAAGCATCTCTCTTAGTCGAATGTATACTACCGGTATTTATTCAAATAATAGGATTGTTCAATGCTTCAGATTCAATTCTATAATGCTGTTTTAAAGTGGATAGTAATGTGAAAGTAGCCTCAAAGGTCAGCTGTATGGACCCAGGAAATGATCTTACTATTTTAAAGAGTTGTGTACAGGTGATACATTCGCATATTTGCATGTTCAAAAAGTGCCTTTTTGGAATCATATGCAAAGAACTACACAGTGTAGTGCAGAAGTAACCAGGCATAGCAATTAAACTGAAATCCAGGGAAAAAATATTATGAAAGTATCTAATTAAACGAGAATGGGTGATTCTCTATTATAGATAAAGGCACAGTATAAAGTAGTATTTTTGGGTTTTTGTTTACCTTGCTTTAGAAAATATTTTAAAAAAACACACACGCACGTTTCCTCTATTGCATTTGCTTAATTGTCCATGTAAGCACTAGAAGAATTGTATTTTGAAAATTAATTATTTCAAAATTTATGTTATGGATGCAGTACAAAGTAAATTAGTAGACCGCATAATTGATTATGACTCTGTTCCTTTGTGTGGAAAATAGCACTTCCTTCTTCATGCAAAGAAACAGAGTTTGGGATTACTCCAGTTTAAAGATCTAGGTTTTTTTCCCCTATTTTAAGAATACTTTGAGCCCTTTCAGAATCATTTTATATGGTTATCAAATAGTTCCTCTCCTTCAGAGGATCATAATCAGTCCTCTGAAATATGTTGCCTGAGAGCAAAGTGATAATCTGAAATACAGTAGCAGCCATCTTGAAATATTAATTCACCAAGTAGCTAATACTATGGATTTGGCCTCTAAAGTATTTGGAATAATGCTACATTTTTGTATTGTTGGTGACAAGCAAATAAACAGGTGAGAAGTGAATAGCCAAGAGTAAAGAAAATGTTGGCATTTCTTCTTGCAAGGGGGATATCCTATGAAAGAGTACTACAAATGATTAAAACTTGTTTTAAAAGCATGTTTTCTAAATTAACATTTATTGTAAAAGAGCACTTATTATAAAATTCTGTTTTTTAAAAAAAGTATCAAGCATTGATTCTTTATTCTAAGGGATAGTTTTTTCGGAATGTAAAGTAATACAAAATCTTGCCCTTATTGGCAAAATTTTCAGATAGTTGATTAGTATTTTTCTTCCATGTTACAAATTGGTTAATTCTTCCCATATTATATCAACACTATCTAGAGCTGTTCAGAGTGTTCTAGAATCTAGAATACTATATTGCCAAACTGCTCCATTAATTAGATTACAAGCATCAGTTGGAAAGTGGTCATGTGGTCATTTGTTTGTTTTATATTGATACTGTCAGTCAGCCTTTGTATTTGGTATTCTGTAATATTTATAATAAGAACCAGTAGTGTTAAAGCATCAGGCTAAAAACTGGGAGTTTTACCTCCACCTTGGGTATAAAGCCAGCTGGGTGACCTTAATCCAGTCACTTTTTCTTAGCCCTAGGAAAGATGAAATGGCAAACCATTTCTAAACAACCTTGTCAGGAAAACTGTAGGAATTTGTCCAGTCACCAAAAATCAGATATTGAATGGAAGGAAGAAAAACTACAATAGTATCAGTTCAAGCCTTACAATGCAATTCTGTGAATACCTACTCAGAAGGAAATCTTATTCATAGATTTTATATCTATCTAAATATCTATCTAAATATTTATATAGATATATAGTATACATACATACTTTCACACTGCACCTACGTATCTAAGCAATTTTCTCCATAATAAATATCAAGTGCTTACTATATTTACTTTTCAACTGATCCAGTATATTTCTTTTTAACATCTTTGCAACTTACAATAAATGTATTACACTCTTTTGAATTAATATTCTAAATATTCAACAACTGTAATTTATATGGATTTCTGATTGAAGCAATATGCCTACTTTCCTAGATGTACATATTCATATGCAATTGAGGAAGAGACAGTTGCTAAAAAACAAACTATTTGAGAGTTTTGCATGTTGAACTGTAAATTGCATGTTAGAAGATTTTACACCTAAATAATAATAATGTAATGTTTGTTGCCAGACCAGATTATGGTATTATTTAAAATGAGCTGCCTTTTTTTAATTTTTCTGCTATGCTTGACATGCTGGAATTTCTTTTTATCTTCTACAGCTGTTCTTGGAAGAGAAACCATAAATTATTTGTACAACTGTGACATTGTGATACTGTGTATAAATGTATTAAAGTTACACTTCATATTGCTTTGTCCAAGTTGGTCAGTTCTGCCATGCACAAAAAATAATGTTATCGTGTTATATCTAGCATTTGATTTGATTGAACCACCATTTGAAATAACTTTGTCTTTTCAGGAAAAAAAGTAACTCTGGAGAGATTTTTCTCTTGTGTCACAGAATCCAGTTGTGACAATACTATAGGGAATTACCAGACTGGCTAGACCAGGTTTTCCAAAGTTCTTGTCAAGGCTTCCCCTCTCAACCACAGCATTTTGTTGAATTCCAGAAGGTTTTCTTCAAAGAAGCTAGCCATATTAACTAAGTTGGGAACATTCCCATGCTTGTGTGGGATGTTAGTTGTAGTTTGGCAATGTCTGGCAGAGCACAAATATTACTTTAAATTGGGTTTCTGAAAAACACTGTCTTAGGTAGAATGTAATGCAATAATTGTTTATTAAGAAGGAGCTAGGCTGTAAAGTCAATGGGTTTCATTACTCTCAGAATTCCAAATGGAGTGGAGGGAAAGGGAAACCATAATAACAACTCAGTATTCATTTCTTAATATTATTTTCCTAAATGGATTTCTTAGCCTGGTCTCTTAAGGATGAGACTTGACATTCAGAATGGAAGAGAAGTAGTATTGCACACTAGGAACATCTTGGACTATTGATAGGACAGTTACTGAGAACTTAACAATATTTTATCTTGTTCTTGTGCTACGCTGTTCAACTTGTATCTAAATTGCAGGCTTGCTCAGTTTTTTACTTGACATAGTTATTTAATAACTTTTTAAGTTAATTCACATTAATTAATACACACAAAAGTGCTTGAAAGTTGACTTTGTTATACCCAGAAACATTCCACTGTTAAAAATTAACTTGTCATCTGAAAAGAATTAGACGTGAGAGAATGCTCTGTAAATGCTACCCCAGTATTCATATTTTCTTGAGCAGTAAAGTTAATTGGTTGCATTATGTTTACTTTTGCACCTCATAATTATCTGAAACTGGTTACTGGAAAGCATCGGAATGATGGTGATCCATCATTAGTAAAAGTCAAGCTTGTCTTTCTGAGATGGCAGAATTTAGTTTTTAAACTTCTAAAAGAGTATTTATTTATAAATGTGTATTTATAAATGTATATACATGTATATAAATATACATTTATAAATAAATATTCAAATCTTTGTATAATTTACACATTTTACTTTATTTCTATTTTTCCTTCCCCTCTCATTACGTTTAACCTATATTTTGATTCTACTCAAAATGATCTTTTATCCTGTGGAATTTTCCAGATTTTTTATCCTTGGTGGTTTGAAATTAGATCACGAGACACTCCTTATTGAAGCATGCAGCGAATTCTCACAAGGTGCCATAGCACCTTACTACACTACACACAGCTGCTCCTCCCTGAAACACATTTCTTACAGGGAGAAAGAACTTAGCAGCTGTATTTGCTCCATATAACTTGTGTGAGAGTTGAACGAATAAGCTGGGTACAAAAAGTATAAAGGGAGGGAAAGGCAAGGCAAGGCATAGTACATTCCGCAGAGGCATTAACCTGCGATGCAGCAAAGGAACAAAGATCACTTTTTCAAAAGACAACTTGACTTTCTTGCTTTTTTTCCCCTTGAAAGCGTTTTGCTTCTCATCCAAGAAGCTCCTTCAGTTCTCATTACAGCTGCAGAACTGAAAAACCTTTTTGGATGAAAAGCGAAACGTTTCCAAGGGGGAAAAAAACAAACAAGAAAATCCAGTTGCCTTTTGGAAAAAGCAACTTTGGGACCATCTTGACCTGGATGATTAAGGATCTCCATAAGCATGAAGAAAAATTATGCTTCCCAAGGTGTGTAAGGTGGGTGCCTATCTCGCAAAGGGCGGGAAGGTCAGAGCGAGTCAGACTCCTACAGCAGAAGAATTTTGACGAGAATGGGAATTTCCCTTTAGCAAAAGCCTTCGCGGCTATTTTGGAGCAGGCGCCAGATTGGTACTGTTTTAACTGGCAACCGCATGGGACCTGAGATGAAGGCAGCAGATCGTAAGAATAGAGATGCATTTGAACGAATGGAAACGATGGGTGGCCAAGTACACTGACGAGTCGCCAGAGCTCTTGAAAGAACTGAGCGGCACCAGGCTCACGCCGCCCTGACGCGCTTCTTCGCAGGTCTCCCGTGTCCTCCTCTTCGGGCGCTTGGTCGGTGCTCCGCAGCTACAAGCCGGAGATGGCCTTTCGGGCGGACTGGAAGGAAGTGAAATGGAGCGTCTTGTTCTTTTGCCGAAGTGAGCTAGGCGCTTCGGGTGAGTTTCCTATGTGCAGGTAAGACGTCCTGTACTGGTCTTGAAAGGGCGCCTTGGAGAGCCTTCTCCAGGCGTCCTGGAGGTGCCCTGGAGTTCGCCCATTTCCTTTCATGACGCTGACCCATATTGTACTGCTTCAGCGAGAAAATTACTTTTGGGCACATCTTCCTTTCTCGTTTTAAAAATAGCCCCAGTTGTTACATACCTTAGAACGGGTCCTCAACCATGGCAACTTTAAGACTTGTGGACTTCAACTCTCAGAATTCCTCAAAAAAGGAAAGCTGGCTGAGGAATTCTGGGAGTTGAAGTCCACAAGTCTTAATGTTTCCAAGGTTGGAGACCCCTGCCTCAAAATGTCCCGCTTGAAATCCTTGTGGGGTAGAGCAGCATTGGGCTTTTGCCACATCACAGTGGTAAAAGTGCTAAGAAAAGGCTTTTCCTGCCACCTGTAATACTGATGCGCACCCTGCAGTTTAAGCAGGTGACTGCCCCAGTTATGTACAGTACATTAGGCCTAGGAAAGAGGTGCTAAAGTGAAAAAAAGATAATAAACTGATGGCACTATGCCCATACTTTACTCTCCCCCCCTTTTTTTGCCCGTTCACCAAGCAGCACCCATTGTCTCAAAAACAAGCCAAATGGAAGAAAGAGGCAGGATGGCGGTCAAGAAAAATTATACATAAATCCTAGATTTATGACCACAATAGAGATCCTGTTACTAATGTCTTAAATACTTGTGCTAGTTTTTCACCTGGTCTCCCTGAAAAAATTGATAATAACCACAACTGAAAGACCCACAACTCTTTTCCTGGGTGCCTTCTAGGTGCTCCAGCATAAGAAGGTAGATTGGCAAAGCAGTTCTGATTAAAACTGGAACTTTTGAAAACTATAATATGTTTATGGATTTTCCATTTCAAGAGTGTGTAGTGCTATAGCAGTTCACAGGTAAAGAAACTACTCTGTTGCTTCTTTAGGAAGAAAAACATTATCCAAATGGATTCTATGGCTGTTTACAGAATCAAATTAAAAATAAAATCAGGAATAAGTAAATATAATAAAATTAAAATATTTCTTAAAATGTGAAAGTTATTTTAAAAGCTGAGTGTAGAAAACATATTTGTCCTAATTAAAAAATATTGATTATTCAAAATGCAGCCAAGTTTTGTAAAAGATATAGTATGAGTTTTCCAAAATTTCTGAATACCAAATAACATGTAGGCATAAACTGAATTATCTTTAAAGACAAAATATTTTTTAAGTTGTAGCATTATCTGCTTTTTATGATCAATAGCTTTGGTGGCTATGGGCCCAGCCTATCTTTGAGGACTGACACAGTCATTCTACAATGACATCTTAACTCTTAGTTTGACTACTTGGTTGTGTGGGGGATACTTTGAACGCTGCTCAAGGCTGAATATTAATTGTGGTTTTGAATTGTAACTCCTGTTACAATATATGCACTACTTTGTAAAAAAAAAAAAAAAGCTTGGCTACTTTAAGGCTACAGCTATATCCACAGAATGCAAAGAATGTGGTTTTGGTCATCTGAAAAACTTTTGTTATTATTATTATTATTATTATTATTATTATTATTATTATTATTATTATTATTATTATTATTATATATGGATCATCGCACAGTCAGCCAGATGTTCAGACTGGATTTGGCATTTTGTCTACCTATCGAGTCCTTACCCAGGACCTGGGATAGGCAGATGTGGATGTTTGATGGTATTACAGATATCGTCGCAGGATGGAAGCAGTTCCTAATAAGGCCGCCTTTTGCAATTGACTAATAGCGAATTTGTCAATGCCAATGGTGTTCAAGTGGTGCTCCAGTTGTTTTGGGATTGCACCCAAGGAGCCTATGACTATTGGTACTACCCTTGCTTGCTTTTGCCACAGTCTTTCTATTTCTATTTGTAGGTCTTTGTATTTTGTTATCTTCTCCAGTTCTTTCTCTTCTATTCTGCTATCTCCAGGCACTGCCACGTCCACTATCCAGACTTTTTTGTCTTTCTTATCGACAATTGTTAAGTCTGGGGTGTTATGTTGCAGGTGCTTGTCTGTTTGAATTCTGAAGTCCCAGAGCAGTTTAATTTTATCATTTTCTATGACTTTCTCTATTTTATGATCCCACCAGTTTTTGCTTACAGGCAAATGATATTTTTTGCAGATCTTCCAATGCACCATTGTTGCTACTTTGTCATGCCGCTGCTTGTAATCAGTCTGTGCAATCTTCTTGCAACAGCTTACCAAGTGGTCCACTGTTTCTTCAGCTTCTTTGCATAGGCGGCACTTACTGTCTGTTGCTGTCTTCTCAATTTTGACTTTGTATGCATTTGTCCTTAAGGCTTGGTCTTGTGCAGCCAGAATTAGTCCCTCGGTCTCTTTCTTCAATTTTCCTGCTCTTAGCCATTGCCAGGTTTTATTATTATCTGCTTTCCCAGCTATTTTTTTCATGTATTGGCCATGTAGTGCTTTGTCTTCCCATGCCTCTATTCTGTTCTTCATTTGGTCTTTCTTGTAGGCCAGTTTGGTCTCTCCAGTAGTTAGTAAGCCTTCCTGATATACTAATTTCAGTGCATCTTCATCATTGTTCTTCAGATATTCTTCCAAAGCCATTTTTTCTTCTTCAACCATCTGATGTACTTGTAGCATTCCACGCCCACCTATTTGCCTTGGTAGATAAAGTCTATCAATGTCACTGCGTGGATGAAGGGCATGATTCATTGTCATTATTTTTCTGGTCTGCCTATCCATTGCTTTTAGTTCTGCTTGAGTCCAGTCCACTATTCCAGCTGTGTACCTAATGACTGGGATTGCCCAGGTGTTGATTGCCTTTATGGTATTTCCTCCATTGAGTTTGGACTTTAAGATCTTCTTCACTCTCTTGATGTATTCACCTCTAATCTTTTTCTTGACTTCAGTGTGCTTGATGTTGTCAGCTTGAAGGATACCCAAGTATTTGTAGTACTCTTCCTCATCCAGACTCTTAATGTTATTTTCGTGGGGCATCTTGATTCCTTCAGTTTTCACTATTTTTCCTTGTTTGATAGTAAGTGTGGCACATTTGTCCAAGCCAAACTCCATTACAATATCTTGGCTATATATACGGACAGTGTTGAGCAGCGATTCTATTTCAGATGATGTTTTTCCATACAGCTTCAGATCATCCATGTAAAGGAGGTGGGATAGTCTAGCAGATGTTTTTGATGTTTGATAGCCATGTCCTGAGTTATTCAGTATTGTTGACAGAGGAAACAGTGCAATAACAAATAGTAATGGTGATAATGAATCTCCTTGAAATATTCCTCTCTTGATATTAACCTCTCCCAGCCTCTCACCATTGATCTGCAACTGTGTCTTCCATTGTGCCATCGATCTTTGCACAAATTTTCTGATGTTTCTACTGACTCCTGTTATTTCTAGGCACTTGATTATCCAATCATGTGGCAGAGAGTCAAATGCCTTTTTGTAGTCAATCCATGCAACATTCAGGTTGGTCTTCCTTCTCTTGCAGTTTTCCAAGATCATTTTGTCTATTAGGAGTTGATCTTTTGTTCCTCTGCTATTGGGGCGGTTTCCTTTCTGCTCAGGTGGAAAGAGATTGTTTTCAACTAGATGCTGTTGTACTGCATCAGCTACCACACCAGTTAGTAATTTGAAAGTTGTTGGTAAGCAGGTAATTGGCCTGTAGTTACCTGGTGTTGCCCCTTTTGCTGGATTTTTCATTATTAGGTAGGTTTTCCCAGTTGTTAGCCACTTTTCAATTTCTCCTCCTTGTAGTATATTGTTGAACTGCTTGGCAATGAGTGGGTGTATAACAGTTAGATGTTTCAACCAAAACCCATGCAGTTCATCTTCACCTGGTGCTGACCAATTTTTGATTTTCTTTGCTCTTTTTTCTACCATTTTTGTTGTTATTACTAGTTCTTTCATTTCAACTTCTGTTTTATTTGCATCCACCTCTTTTAACCAAGCCGCATCCTTGTTGTATTTCTTTGGGTTATCCCATATCTGCTTCCAGAACTGCACTGTTTCTTCCTTGTCAGGTACTGACTGATTCCTTGCAGTTTCTCCATTGATGGATTGGTAGAAACGTTTCTGATTGGATTGAAATTGGAGGTTCTGCCTATAGTTTGCAATTCGAGCTTCATATCTACTGATTTTCCTGGCTATAGCTGTTATTTGTTGCTTTATTATTTCCAGTGCTTCCTTGATCTTCCTTGTTTCTAAGTGGTATTTCTTGATTAGGTATTCTTTGGTCTTCTTGTTCTTCAGCTTCTTTTCTTTCATCTGTTCTAGCTTGCTTGCATGTGATCTTAACTTGCTGATCTTATTTTCTAGTCTAACCTTCCATTTTTGTGATGCACTGTTTGTTTGTTTTTCTTCTTTGTTGATTTTGCATCCCAGGTATTCAGTTATAACTGCAGCTGTGCTGTACATTAGTTGGTTTGTTTCTTGCAGTGAATTGGTGCTTATACTTGCTATTGCAGTATTTGCATCTTTTAATGCTTGTGCTAGCTGTTTCTTTGAAACAAGCTTCAATGCAGGCAGCCTTATTCTGTTGTTTTTGTGCTGTTCTAGATGCTCAGTTATTCTTTGTTTATTTATTATTATTATTATTATTATTATTATTATTATTATTATTATTATTATTATTATAGTAGTAGTAAAGTTGGAAGGGATCTTGGAGGTCATCTAGTCCAACCCTCTGCTCGGGCAGGAAACCCTACACCATTTCGGACAAATGGCTGTCCAGTCTCTTCTTAAAAACTTCCAGTGTTGGAGCATTTACTGCTTCTGGAGGCAGGCTGTTCCACTGATTAATTGTTCTCACTGTCAGGAAGTTTCTCCTTAGTTCTAGGTTGCTTCTCTCCTTGATTAGTTTCCACCCGTTGCTTCTTGTCCTGCCTTCAGGTGCTTTGGAAAAATTATTATTATTATCCTCAATTTTTTTGCTGACACTAGTAGAACTGTTGATGGTATTTCATTTATAATAGTAAGGCAGAAAGATAAGCAAATTTGGCTTACTGAGGGAGGTAATTAGTATCATTCATTGCTTGTATAGTTTTTATTTGATGTATATCCTCTTTTCATCTATGAGCTGAGGTCAGTGTACATAATTCTCTGTCCTATTTCCTCCCTGAATACCCTTAGAGGGAGGTTGGCTGAGAAAGGATTGATAAGCTAAACAACCTTGGACCTTTTGCTCTTAATCCAGCATCTTAACCACAACACTACACAGGACTGTTCTACTCCAGACATGATTAATCCAGTATTCAGGTTATATATTTTTATAGCTTCAGAAAGGTTCCTTTGCAATACTTGAACATTGATAAATCAATCTTAATCGTGGCTTTCTAGTTGCGTGACCGAAGGGATCTATCTCAATATAAGAAATCAGATTTAAAATGGTTTGGAAAACTCCTTAATTTTATTAAAAGTACCACTTAAAACAGATGAATTCTAGTTTAATTTAGAATATACGCTTTGAATCCGAGACCTCATTTTATCACTGTGTGTGCTTCTATTGTAACTTTCTAAGTACAGTACTACATCAGTTATCCAGATTTTTACAATGTGCTTCAGAAAAAAAGCTTGGAAAATAGACAACATTAGTATGGAGTTTTCTGACAAAGCTGTATATGCTGGTTCATTGTTAAGACAGACTTTTGATTGTTAATGTGGGAAGATCATGGGATTCCTATTCATTCTTTCAATAAAGAGAATGAACATGTTCAATAATGTATTTTTATTATGCCAGATGACCAGAAGTCTACATAGAACATTATTTCAGAGGTGCTATGGGATAGTCTGTTCTCTTTTGCCAAGATAAGAAAAAATTCTGAACACAGAAAAGGAAATGTCTCTCTGTGCTGGAGAACAAGATGCTCCCTGTCAAATATATGAGGTGAGGTAGGCAAGCAGCATCTGGAAATTGATTTTGTATATGAAGGCTCCTAAACCCACCATTTTTCACCATATCCCCAAATCAGGAGAACATTTATAGCAATCATTCCTCTTATTGGTATTCTGTATATGCATACGAGAGACAGAATTCATAAATAAATGAAAATGGGCAAGCATCATTCCCTCTACCTTATTAGTCTGCCATTGACAAGACAATTCTGAATTCTTTGGAATGCGCTAAACAAAACTTTTTGGTACTGTAGTACAGTACCTTTTCTATGATTTGGGCTCAAATTAGCATGCTTGGTTCATATTACATGAAGACCTAACTGTGGAGAAGACTGCAATGCTGGAAAAAGTGGAAAAAGTGAGGAGGATGACCAGCAGAAAGATGGATGAATTTAATTATAATGGCACTGAGTGCACCTTTAAAAGACCAGGTTAGGGACAGATCATCACAGAGAAAAATCTATGTTTGCCCAATAATGGAGAAATACTGAAAGTGAAATGGTGATTTTTGGGTTTGCTAATTAAAAAAGGGACAGAAGGAATCTCTATAATGTGATATGAAAGATGGAAGAGGGATAATAATTTTATTTGTAACTGCAGCAAAGAAAATCAGAAGTTGCTTCTTTAGTTTTTTCTTTATTGCTTTTTTACTTTTATATTTAACTTTTCTGTATATACAGTATTTTCATGTTATCTATGTAAAATTTTTCAATAAAAATACATGAAAAATCTATATGGTTGAAAATTACTTGATGACTCATAATTCTCTTATTTGTTTGAAGATAAAAAAGCATGTGTGTAAGCAAAAAAATTTACAATCCCCTGAGATGCTTTTTTAAAACTATCTGTTTATTAACGACTTGAATTGGTTTTTTTTTCTACAATAGGTGAGTGTCAGTGACTTCAGGTAATACCCAATAAATCTATTGCTCAAAAAAAATACAGTTTCATTGAAGTTAATAGTAACAGGTTTTGCTACAAAATCAGGAAAAGAATGTTTCTTATTTCAGATGTTGGACTTTGTTTCCCATAGGCTTAGACAACCAAGACAACGATCAAGAACAAATGGATTTGAAGTGTCATGCATCTTTGTATAAATTAACTGATTTGAAACCATTTGCCTTGTTTTTAAAATAAAGCAGTTCCACTGATATTCCTGGAATTAATCCTTATTTTGATATTGGTTCAGTTGCTCTGAACCATACAGAGCTATTCACTAAGTAGTGTTAATTCGGTTTCATTTGGGCATCATATTTCTGTTTGTTGAAAGGTTAATGAAAGTCACTAAAGAGCAAAACTGTATACATTCACTACTTATTAGCTAATGAAACATCTGTAAGAAAACAATCAAGCTCAGAGGACAACACAGATTCCACAGTTCAACTCTGAGTTACGAATATTCTCTTCTGTTGACATACATAGTTTATATTTTGATTTATTTTCAGGATCAAAAGTACATAGATAGTCCTTGTGTACAACTAAAATGTTATGGCAATGACTGCAGTAAATGTAATTTTTGTACCAAGCTTACGGGAACAAAGTTTCAGACAAGCAAAGCTCTTAGCAGAAAAAGAAATGTGAGAGAGTAAATGCTGGTCTTGGCACAAATATTTTGGGGTTTTTTTTAACTATTACCTGCTAGGTCTGTGGGTACAATTCAGAGTTAAAATAAATTGAAATTTTGCATTTAGATGATTCAGATGATTCTATGCGAATAACATTATATTTGCAATTAATAAATTTGCATAAATTTACCCTAGGTTTCATTTTCCTTACCTATTTCTTAAGGGTTGAAGATTCTTACAGGATTGTATCTAATGTACACATCTTAAAAGCCTGAATAGAAAGTTAAATCTCCTAGTTCTATTTTATTAAATGTGTATGCAGACATGTATAGACATTTCATGTATATTTATGTCCTTACAATGTTTCTGCCATCTCTACAGGTGAAATATAAGTCTAAATTGGGAATAATTCATCTGCTTGGTTCTAGCTCTTCCAAAGTGCTAATTACTTTATGATCACAATTATTGCTCTTAAATATTAACAGGTCTTCTAGCAAAAAAGAAAAAAGATTGCACACCAAAAACAAAAAACTAAAGTGTTCTTTCAATGTTTCAAAACCCACCTGGATTTGAAACATAAGGATTGTGATATCTGAATAAAAACATTTATTTATTTGAAAATTGATTAGAAAAAAAATACTAGCTTCTGTTTTAATGCTTACATAAAATTCAATGCATCATCTTAATTTTTAATTAACATGTAAACAATATTTCTTTATATTTAAGGTCATGTGATATATCCAATGGAGAGCTTGGAGACTAAACAGCTGCTTCTTTCCCACTGTGTCTTTAGTCGGAAAAATATTGTCCAGTGCAACAATGTCACTCTAAAAAGAAAGGGAGCTTTCAGTGTCAGTGATCTCTGCCACCCTAGTGCTGTTTCATCCATTGTTGTCCAAAAACCTCATATTCATAGAAGGAACCCTTCTGCTGAAATCAGAATATATAACTGTTAACAGTATTTTAAATATTCATGACTATATTAAGCTGACACATTTTTGAGACTCAGAAACAGGGAATTATGACATTCTATGTGCCATTGGATCACAACCCCCAACAATCCCAGTCCACATAGCCCAAGGAACTGGGGAAATGTAGTTCAACATTTATATGGTCAAAGGTTCATCACCCTTGCCACAGGGCATTGTAGTAAAAAAAAAAGGATTCAATTAAATAGAACATGTCATCTTGATACTGCTTACAATAATCCCATAAGATGCATCAGAGCAATCCTCAAAGCTGATGCCATTTTTATATACATGTATGTCTCCTTTAAAATGTCAGATTCGTTGATTTAAACAAAAAAACCCATTCAATTTAGGCACCAGCAATATTGATAATTCAGTAAATGGACTTCATAAAATGTTTTTCTAACATTTCATAATACCTTTAGGTATTCTGTTTGTTTCGAAGTACTATATCAAAGTATTAAAAAAATATTTTCTTTACTAAGGCAGAAAATTCTAAGCAAAATAATTACAAGCTTAACATTTACACTTCTTTTAAGGTTATTAAATCTTGTAGAGTAGCTGTAGAGTATCTACATTTCTAATTTATCTACAAAGAGTTTTTTGATTTATGATTTTTAAAAATAATATCGATGCTTCTGAACTTTGGTGTTGGAGATGACTTCTGAGAATACCATGAATAGCCAGAAAACAAACTGATCTTAGAACAAATCAATGCAAAGTTCTTATTCAAAACTAAAATGCTCAAATTTTGAGGTCAATAATTTTGGGAAATGTAGGAGGACAGAGAAAAAGAGGACAATCAGCAGCAAAGTGAATAGACACAACTAAAGTGGCAATGGGTACATTGTTTGAAGATCTGATAAGCCAGATTGGGGATAGATCATCCTGGTATCTATATGGTTGTTAAGAACTGATACTGACTTAATAGCACATAATACATTTACAAATGAAAATAAAATTTTAAAATATAGTCCATTTCTGTAACTGAAATAAAAATGCCATAATTAGAAGTTTCAAATGAGAAATTTAAAATATCTTCTTGCCTTTTTTGTCCTTTAGTAATAATTTAGTACATGTCTTTTAAAATGCAAACACTGTTTGCAAAAGGTAGGCTCTTCTCTTCTCTTCTCTTCTCTTCTCTTCTCTTCTCTTCTCTTTGCCATTCCCCATTGAAACCACAAGAAAATGATCAGGAGAGCAATTTAAGTAATATTCATATTAAAGTACCAAACTTATTCAGGAAGAACGAAGAACATTCAGTTTCCACTTTCAAATTTACTTGATAATTCATGCATGATGTTATTAGAAGAACATAAAAAATAGCTAAAGAAGAAAACTATGAAAAAATGGACCAATATATCAAATTAAATAAAATATATGATCCTGGAAATATTATTCTGGAATACTTGTCAATGGCATGAGTGTCGATTCTCATGCTGCTATATCTCTGGACTTTCCTCCTACTTGAATTTCCTTCTGATGCAAGACCCAACTGAACCATCATTCTGTCTTCTTTGCTTCCATTTTCAGACACATATTGTCCTAAATCATTTACTTCTCCATCACTGTAGCTGCCTTCCATCCCAGTCATTTGCTTTGGCTGTGAAATTGCAGAAGCACAAGAAAGCTGTGGAGGAAGAAGAAGGAATGGCATTCAAATGGACATAACTACATCTATTAGTTATTGTCAGTTCCTGCCATAATTTTATATGACTTTGTTTTAAATTTAAATATTTAGATTATTTAAAAAAACATTTTATGCATCTATATAAATATGTTACCAAAGCAGCAGAATATTTGAAGGTTAAGATTGAATTTTGGGATCCTTGGTGCTCTCTGAGCTTTGTTGGTTTCTTGCAGACATTTTATTACCCGACTAGGATATACAGTATATCATCAGAACTCCACTCCCTTCTAGCACTGATGATGTTATCTAGTTGGGTAATGAAATATCTGCAAGAAAACAACCAAGCTCAGAGAGACCAAGGACCCCACATTAATATCTCAGTTGTTTCACCCAGCTCCTTATGACAGTAACATTTACCTTCTCGCATTGCTTCCGTTCTTTTCGCTCTTGCACCGTGGTCAGGTAATTCACTGCAGCATACTCTAATACTGAGAGGAAGACAAACACAAAACTGACCCAGAGGTAAATGTCCACAGCTTTGATGTAGGAAACTCGAGGCATGGAGGCATTGACACCAGTGATGATGGTAGACATGGTCAGTACCGTCGTGATACCTAAGGATATTACAATTATCCACTTGAAGATACCCATTTTTAAATAATGCATTTATTTCATCAAAGGGGTAGCTTTTCTTTAAGAAAAAAAACATGTTGACTTAAAGAAGTTGGTTTTATTTATATTGATGATCTGCCATCTTTATTCGTGCTTCTGTCTTTTTAGGGGAAACTTAAACTTAAAGCCTGTTTGTACACACCCAGATTTTGCCCAGATTGATGCATAGATGCCTTGAGGATAGTTAATTCTGCTTTGGGGGAACAGAACCAGACTAGGATTGCCATCCTAGACACACTTTGGTGGAAGAAGTAAGACGTTGAAAACAGCAAGACCTATTTTTGAGAAAATAATTTGTTGGATGGGATCTCACATTTGCAGTTTGAAGCAAACTTAACTCTGATAAAACTCATTGGACTTAATATTGTTTTCAAATAAGCAACTAATTTATAATCCCCTTTAAATACAAATGGCTAAATCTACATAGCTTTAGTCCATGTGATTATCTATCTATCTATCTATCTATCTATCTATCTATCTATCTATCTATCTATCATCAGCTCCCACCTGTTTTTTATCCATAGACTAGCTAAGACTTCCTATAGGGAAGAAGAGAACAGGTAAAAACATTACAACTAAGTTTATTTGTCAATACATGCTGTCCTAGATTGCAATTCTTCTAAATAAAGCAGAGATAGATTCCATCTCTTACCTAGGGGAACTCTTGCAGGCACAGCACGACGGTCTATCCAAAAAGAAACCCAAGACAACATGACCATCAGAGTGGCAGGGAAATAGGTCTGAAGCAAGAAGAAGAAGATATGTCGTCGTAATGTGAAGTTGATGAAGAGACGGTTATACCAGCCTGCAGGAGAAAGAGGAAAAACGAGATCTCAGTGAAGAGTACCAATGATAACAACCACATCAACAACATGGAACTCTTACGGTATTTATTTTCATAGTACTATGCTTTGAATTATCGCCAAAAAGGGACATTTTTCCACTTTAATAATACAAACATGCAAGTAATATTTAGAACTCCTGTGGATTCAGTGAAGGTGTTTATAAAAATTGAGCTTTGATTTACCTAGGTTTAATGAAATCAAATAGTCTGCTGCAAATAGATCTGTTCCCCCCCCCCTTAATTCCTGTAAATATTTTTGTATCTCATGAAAAAGGGGGGGGAAAGTCTCCATGTCCTCTATCTCTGTGAAGCAATTGTTGCAATTGTTTTGACACTTCTTGATGTCAAAATGCCCTCATTCGCACTGGAACAGGTGAAAGTGACATTTTGCCAAATAGAAATGCCCTACTCCCATTAAGTTCTACTAAGAGTCCTATTTGTACAAGAATGATTTCTGTTCTTTCTTCTCTCCAGCCTTTCTATATGAACATGTTTAGAATTCATTAGACTGAAACATTTCTTCAGACAATAAAAACAGCTATTATATACCACTTCACAGTGCTTTGCAGCCTTCAGACAATAGCAACAGCTATTATATACCGCTTCAAAGTGCTTTGCAGCCTTCTCTAAGTGGTTTACAGAGTCAGCGTATTGCCCCCAACAGTCTGGGTCCTCATTTTACCGAGTTATTATATCTTTCAGCACTCCATTTGTAAGTACCTGATGAGCAATTATAAAGCTGTTCTTGAATGCATCCTTAATCTTGCCAAGGAAATCTTATATTTGTGAATATTTAAGTTACATAATCTTATTGGATTATATACCTTACATCTTCTTTCTTAGTAAAACCTGTAAAATAATGTTACCAAAGTCCTTTTTTGGCCTGATGGACAATTTGGCAAAAATAGATTCTTGGAAATAAAAAAATGGCAACTCTAGATAATATACTACCTTTCCAGAAAGGCCTAAAACTTCCTTGAGAATTGGTATCATATGGATGTCAAAGAGTTGGAAAATTAAATAGTTTTACAGAAAGCATCATAGACTTTGTTATATTATATCAAATTAAACTCTTACCTCCACAATTATCTATACTAACCGTAACAGAAATAGAGACCAAACTAAACTATATGAAATAGAAACACTTTGAATTTGAAGATAAACCAGGGAAATGGTTGGCATATGAAGTGAGAAAGGAGAGAGAAAAGAAAACAATATTAAGGATTCAGAAAGGCAAGATTGTACTAACAGATAATGTGATTATTCAGTATTCATAACTTCTATTTAAATTTGTATAACAGGAAGTTTCTCTGAAAAAGATTGATGAGTACATGAAAAAACAGAGTCTATCAAAAATTTCACAACTTCAGTAACAAATTATGAACAAGCTTTGAAATATCAAAAGCTATACAAAAAGATTAAAAGTGGGAAAGCACCAAGTCTGGATGAGTTGTGAACTCATATTATAAATGCTTAGAGGATCAACTTTTATACCTCTTAAAAATGTGATGAATTCCATTTTGCAAGGGTCTGCTATGCCAGAATATTGGAAAAAGCCAATATTGCTAATGGAAGAACATGGTCTCATTTCAGCCAAGAACTATAGACTAATGTAGTTGCTGAATAATGTTTATTAAATATTCGCAACAATATTGGCTGATAAACTAAAAAAGATTTTACAGGATTTCATTTATGATGATCAATGTGGGTTACTACCCAAAAGACAATTAAGAAATCACATGAGAAAAGTATTGGATGTAAAAGAGCATTTACAACAGCAAAATGAGAAGCAAGCAGCCTTGATTCTGTGAAAGGAAAAAATATCTTAATAATTATTTCTGTATAAATCAAACATATTTCTTTGATAGTCAATTAAAATAAAGGCGATGTCTGCTGAGAAATACTGAGTAGAAGGAAGAACTGTGACCTTTGCAGTAGATGGTGAAAGATTGTGGTTGGCACACATTTTCCACAGGAACAGAGTGCGGAAACATATAGCATAGGAACTGAGGAACTATGCCTTGTTCACAGGTACAGTGACATGAGTAGAAGCGGTAGTGAGGAAAGTAATAATCTGACTTGAAGTGAATTTATATACTAACCCTGACCATGTTATTGCTAAGATGTATAAATTATTATTGAAAATAAATATAGAAGATAATTAAGTTAAAGAATGTATGATTAAATGAGCAAAAAAAACCTTTGGAAAATGTAACACTTGATCAGTGCGAGAATACGTGGAGTAAAGGATTGAAATGTACACTGAATTGTAACTTGAAAGAGATTTTTTATGAGATGATGTATTGTTGAAATTTAATACCTGAAGAATTGTAAAATATGTATAATGGTGTGTCAAACATACATCTTCCTGTTTAAGTAGAGGTGGCACTCTTTCCAGGGAAGAGAGGGGGGAACACCTGCAAAGTGTGAAGATCCCAAAGAGAGGCCTGGCCAGATGGTGTGGGTATTTGTGACAGACAGACCGGCCTTCTTCCTCCCCTTGCTATGAATCCAACCAACACCAAGTTACAACTCTCTGATAGAGATGTGCAGTTCAAGCCTGAGCTTGAGGTTCATCTGCTGAGCTTTTGTAGGAAAGAAAACAAATTAATTCCCATTGTAAAAGCATGAAGAAGTAAGCTTTGTGATCCAAGTGCACTTACCTGTGCTGCTATAAAAAGCAAGTTTGGTGGTAGTGTGAAACTCTTGTATAAGGAACTGAGATAATGATATTCTATCATCTGTTTTCAAGGACTCGTTCCCATTCTTCCAGTACAGCATGAGATCATCTTCAGTGTAAGCATCTACAGAGGAAGGAAATATTTTGGGCAATGAATCCAGATAACATACAGCACAGAGCTTAGTGCAGTCCTCATCAGCCTGGTATCTGTAGTGTAATGTCTTATATTTCAGCTCTCAGTCTATTTCACATACATCATAATTTAGTTCTTGCTATTATAAACACACTAGCAGTTCTTCCCAATGCAATTGTAGTCCAATCAATGCTGTTAATACTAACGATGAGGGGCAAGTTCTATCCCTTGAATATTATTGATGGCAGCATAACAAAAAGCTGGAAACATTTCCTAATTGTGAAATTGGACAGCTACCATTTCATGTAGTACTTAATATGAATCACTGTACATATACTTAAGTCTTCTATGTTTAGTTGCAAAATATAGATCTGGGATCTAATATCATTTGTCAGTGAGTTCTTAAAAGAACTGTTGTAATCTAATTGCTACCTCTGTAGTTTTTGATTGTGAGAGATGCAATATCCAGTTTGGTTGCCATGTGTGTAGACTTTCAGCCACTTAGTTAAAGTAGAATGTTGCCTGGGCTATACCATTGTGGAGGTAGTCTACAGTTCATATCTTAGATAATGAGCTTTCTTTGTTGTTGTTGTTAATTGTGAAGTCATGCATGACCCATCGTGACCCCATGGACAACGTTCCTCCAAGCCTTCCTGTCCTATACCATCTTCTGGAGTCCATTTAAGCTCACGCCTACTGCTTCAGTGACTCCATCCAGCCACCTCATTCTCTGTCGTCCCCTTCTTCTATTGCCCTCAATCTTTCCCAGCATTAGGCCCTTCTCCAGTGAGTCCTTCCTTCTCATTACGTGGCCAAAGTATTTGAGTTTCAACTTCAGGATCTGGCCTTCTAAAGAGCAGTCAGGGTTGATCTCCTCTAGGACTGACCGGTTTGAATACCATAGTTCAAAGGCCTCAATTCTTTGGCGCTCAGCCTTTCTTATGGTCCAACTTTCACATCCATACATTGCAACTGGAAAAACCATGGCCTTGACTATACACACTTTTGTTGGCAGGGTGATGTCTTTGCTTTTTAGTATGCTGTCTAGATTTGCCATAGCTTTCCTCCCCAGGAGCAAGCGTCTTTTAATTTCTTGGCTGCAGTCCCCATATTATAACATCTATCCTACTGTGACTTTATGATGTCATATTATGCTTATTTTCTTATGGTTTTATCTTAATAATATTTTATCTTGTATATTTTATTGTCCACATACAGATAGTCCTCAAGTTACAACAGTTCATTTAGTGATTGTTCAGAGTTACAATAGTACTGAAAAAAAGGACTGATGACCGCTTTTCACACTTACGACTATTGCAGCATCCCTGTGATTGCATGATCAAAATTCAGAAACTTGGCAACTGATTCATATTTATGACGGTTGCAGTGTCCCAGGGTCAAATTATCACTTTTTGTGACCCTCTGACAAGCAAAGTCAGTGGAAAAATCAGATACACTTAACAACTGTGTTACTAACTTAACAAAACTCCAGTGATTCACTTAACAATTGTGGGAAGAAAGATTGTAAAATGGGGCAAAGTCACGTAACTGTCTCACTTAACAACAGAAATTTTGGGCTCAATTATGGTCATAAGTTGAGGACTATCTGTACACTCTCCCCCCCCTCTCTCTGTCATGATATATATTTATATCCTCTCTAGATGCCATAAGCTAAATAAATAAAAAAAATTGTACATCTAATTTCAACATAACACCTTATTGTCACTATTGCCATAACAAATCAGTAAGCAAAGGAATTGTTTTATAATTACCAGATTGCTAAAACCTGCATTACAGGCTACAGTATTTACTTTTTTAAAACAAAACGTTTAAAAAAAATTGGTCAGTTTTATGTGAAACAGCTAATCAGTCTAAACACAGATCCTTAGGGACTAAGAAGAAGAAGAAAACTGAATCTGCAAACAACATCAGTTACAGTATTAAAACACTTTCTGGGAAAATAACATGCAAACCTACTTAGAAATCAGTTTTAAGGAATCAATCAATGTATGGTTTTTAAGTACTGTTTACTTACAGCTTTCAATTTCCAGGGAACATGTCTGTGTGTCAAGGGGAAAGCGACTGAAATCCATGTTACACATTGCTGTTACAGTGACCCTAGGAACACAGTAAATATGTGTTACTATTAAAATGAGAAATGGGTGAAGAAAAGAGGAATAATGCAGGTTAGGTCCACATTCCATTTTTTTAACAAGTTTTAATGGGATGCTGCATAATAAACAATGCCGTTCTGTTCTTGCTTGGTTATAGTAATTTCCATTATTTTCAACAAGATACACACCCAGAACTGCAATATCCAAAGTAGCAGTATAAATATTGAATAAACTCTAGTTAAATAATGGAATTTGCTCCTGAGTAAAGATATGCAGCCTGCAGGACAGAGGTGTAACATGGATGTATTGAGGTGTGCCAATATGCACAGTGGCAGCATATTCTGGACAAGATGCAGTTTCCAGATGGTCTTCAAAGACAATCAAATTTAGAGCACATTGTAGTAATCCGCTTGAGGTGTCTAAAACATGAGTGACCATGAACAATGCTTCCAATACAGGAAGCAACTGGCTCACAAAGTAAAACTACAAAAGCCTTCCCAGCCACAACTGCTAATTAGTCTTTAAAAAGGAGTTATGAGTCCAGGAGGATCCCCAGACTGTATACCAGTTCTGTTCATAATACTGCAACCTCATTCATAAGCAAGGATGGAAAAACATGGGCCCTTAAAACCCACAGCCACCCAGTCTTAAGAAAGAATAACCACAGCATCACTTGGTTGGCCTAAGGCAGGGGTGTCAAACTGCCGGCCCGCGGGCCGAATGCATCATAGCGAAACCACGCCCACTCCATTATCGGCAGTGGCAAAAAAGTTGTGATACGTCGCGACACGTCACGTGATATTGTGAGCTTGACATCCCTGGCCTAAGGGATCAAAAGCTCTGTCTCACCCTCTGCCACCAGGTGATCTCATCTAGCACTTTCTTTTTTAAAAAACATTTTTATTAAAAATTATAATTATACAAATAAAAACTAGTGGAAACTACAAAAAAAATTCAAAGAATAAAAAGAAAAAATATAGTGCAGAAAAAAATAAAAAGAGAATATAAAAAATAGGGAAAACGAATATAAGGAGAAAACAAACACTGAAAGAACTTCCCCTTCATTACAACAAATATAAATAATTTAACAATTTATCATCTTTCCTTAAGGTATAACATCCTTCATTCAATATTTCATCTTTTACCCATAAACAAATCCTTAAAACTTTGTCATCCACTCCTTGTCAGCAAAAGTCCATTAATGGTTACCAGAAATAACAATATCAGTTTTAACCATGATCAAGTAAACTACCTTTATATTCCTTCCCTTTATATTTAACAATCTTGATTCTTAGTTTCTTCAAATAATGTCTCATAACTTGATTTGATTTCCTTTTTCCTTTGTTCTTTTTTACCAAGTCTTTCAACACTTTAATAGATACAGGAAAATTATCCAAGTCACTCTTCCAGTTTGTTATTTGTAAGTCCTTTTTAAGTATTGAAACATCAGCCAGATTCATTCATATAGCTATAGTATATCATCTTTTTCTAGATCATTCTTATAGCCTGTCATTTTCAAATTCAATTCAAATTTCAGTCTTGTCCAGTAGAATTTGTTCCTCTTTCATAACATTATTTACACATACTCTGTCTATGATGGCAGATATTCTTAAAATTAACTTCTGAGTTCTTTGTGCACAAATACCTTTCAGTATGTTAAATGTTAAAGCATTTTGCTCCACCCTGTGTTAGCAAGTCGCATTTAAGTGTTCTTCTCCTTTAATTATACTCTTTAATTCCTTCTGACTCCCTTCAGTGTGCAACCTTCAAAATCCCATCTTATCAATATTTTTAATTTGTAACAACAATTTGAAGGATAATTTTAATAAATTAATTTGATTATAATTTTTTTGATTGTTGTAAGCTACCAACAGTCATTGAGAGTCAGTTAGCATACAAAAGTTTAAATTACAGTTATATACACAAGAATGTGAAATCACACTTGCCATTTCTTTAGTTGATGTTGGGCTTTGTATACATTGAGTTCTTCCCAACAACTTAGGATATTGTAATGTATCAGTGCAGTATATGTGCTGATCCAAGCGATGTGGCCTTTTGTAACTGATGGATGGAAATTTTGTCAATGAGCAAATTTTCTAAATGACATCCAAGCTATTTTGGTAATGGCATCCAGTGTCTCAATAACCATTAGGACCACAACTGCCGGTTTATGCGATAATCTTTGAGCTTCACTTTTCAGATCTTGATAGTTTATGATCTTCTCAGTTCTTTGACTTCTATTCTATTATCCCCTGGTATTACCGCATCAATTATCTACATTTGTTTTATTTTCAACCATAGTTAAATCTGGTACATTATGTGCGAAAACTTTATCAGTTTGTATTCAGAAATCTCACATTATTTTAGCTAGCTCATTTTTTACTACTTTTTCAACTACATGTTCCTGCCAATTTTCATTACTGCCAGATGATAATTTTTACAGATGTTCCAGTGAATCATTTTGACAACTGTTATCATGTCATTGTTTATGACCAATTGGTGTGATCTTCTTGCATGAGCTGATCTATTTTTTTCTGCTTCTTTGACTAATTATTATTACAATTACATCTTACCTCAAGCTGTAAAGCACTTGCCCATCTGGCTGTACTCGAAGCATCACATTATCTGTCGTTGTGTCATGGATAAAGGAACGCTTTGAATGGACAAAAAACATGTCAGGCACCCAGATCTTTTTCACAAGTCTGCCATCAAATGTCATACTTTGATTATTGGTACTTGGAAATGACAATCTTTCATCTTTCCAGTAATGTCTCAGGTAAAGAGTCATGGTGAAATCCTAATTAAGATAAAAAAAATTGAAAAAAAACATTTTCATTGACATTCCTAGCTTTTTTTCCAGAAATATTATTTAATCACATATGGCAAATACTAAAAATACAAAAAACTAAGCGTTTAAGCACCTAATGGAGTAAACAGTTAGAAAAAGAATTTAAAAATTCTCATTTACTTTAAAAATGAGAAAAAAACTGTTAAAATATTTGATTGAATGGTAATTATCTGTAATTTAAAAAATATATAAAAACAACTACATGAGTAAAACTAAAACAGAAGCCATTTTGATACTGCAAATTTCAATCCCTGCATAATGTTACATTAATCTTACAATAAATAGGGTTCCCTGCATGGAAGCAGAAGAAATGCTCCTAAGTGACGCCAGCAGCTCCTATGTTCTTGCAGGAGGCTCTGGTGGGAGTTCCCCTGTTTATAAATGTGCTCAAACGATTGTAACACTTGTGAATGTTTTCTGTTATGTTCAGGTATTTCTGAGCCAAGATTTATGAGTGGCATTTGAATGGCATTGCAAAAAGCATTAGGTTCAAGCATAACCTAAATTAGATTCCATTTTATTTATATTTATTGAAAATTAAATATTGTTGATACAATTATTATCCAGCCATGTTTATAATAATTAACCCCTTCTTTGCTATTAATAATTACAATTGAATGAAACTTTAGGGAGTTGTATAGAGCTTTAGGGTGATTCTGGAACATCTAGTTGCATACTTCTGGATCTAATGTTGCTAATTTTATATTGAATTTCATGAACATTTATGGGAGTGGGATGAATTTATGATACAGGAGACTGACTTGTTCCCAAAGACCCTGCCTGAATTACTTTTGTAAATACATTTGAATGTACAAAAAACTACCTTCTTGACTACTCCAGACAATGCTGATTTCAATAAATGTCAGAGTCCAGGGAATCCCAGGTGTATTCATGAACTAAATTAATCATATTCCAATTATCCATTTGCATTCTGAGTCATAAAATGGATACTTACCATGTCAACCTCTGAGATGCTGTCCAGACTTTCAACTTGTACATCAACTCCAACAGGAATTGCAGGGCCTGGATAAACATAGAGGATATCTATGTCAACCATTAGGCTAGATCAGGGGTAGGCAACCTTGGCTCTTTTATGACTCGTGGACTTCAACTCCCAGAATTCCTGAGCCAGCCATGCTGAGGGGAAAGGGAAAGGTTTTCAACTGAGCCATGCTGGCTCAGGAATTCTGGGAGTTGAAGTCCACAAGTCATGAGGGGGGCCAAGGTTTCTCTCATGCTGGCTCAGGAATTCTAGGAGTTGAAGTCCACGAGTCATAAAAGAGCCAAGGTTGCCTACCCCTGGGCTAGATGTTTAAAAAGAGTAAAAGCAGTGCCTATTTTTTTTTTATTTATAGAATTTTTAAGGTCTCCCATTCACAGTTTGGGACTCTTGATGGAAAACATCATTAGGAACCAAAACCAATAAAATCAAAAATAAATATCACAGGACAGGTAGTCATTAATTATCATTTGTTCAGGGATCATTTGAACTTCTTTGATTAGATTTTATTAGATTTTTATCCCATCATTTTTACTTTAAAAATAGATAATACTTTTACTTCCTCTTCCTACTTTCTTCACAACAATAACCCCGTGAGGAGGGTTGGGCTGAGAGACAGTGACAAGATACTGCAACTGTCATAAGTGTACTACAGTTACCAAGCATCTAGATTGTGAACTGTGAGCTGTCAGGAGACTATGAATTATAGTCTTGTCTTAGGCATGAAAACCAGCTGGTTTGCATGCCTAAAATTAGACTATAATTCATAGTCTCCTGGCACCTCACAGTTCACAATCTAGATACTTGGCAACTGGATTACACTTATGACAGTTGCAGTATCTCGTAGCCAGCTGATTGCCATTTGTGACCTTCCCTGCTGATTTCAAAAAGTCAGTGGGGAAGCTGGCAAGGAAAATCACAAGATGTTCCTGTAAATCGCTCACACTACTGCAGCTTTTTTCCCTGAGAAGTCTGGCTAAGGAGTGCATGTATGCCCACAGTACAATTTAATATCGTCAGCATCCAGGTAGTCCTCAACTTTCAACAGCAATTGGGACTGGAATTGTGGTTGATAAACAATGTCATAAATCACAATGTAACTTAATAACCATGTTGCTTGTTGACGGTGTTATGGTTCTGGCTAATGAAACACTTCAAAGAACTTCCAGGCATTTATTTTCTTAAAATATTTGCAGCGTTGACAGACAGCAGGTCTATTAATCCCAGTGAGGACTACATGTGTCCTTAAACAAGGACCTCACATGACCAAAACTTCAAACTTACTGTTCACTTCCCCATTGATTTTGCTTGTTGGAAGCCAGCAAGAAATGCCAGAAATTGTAATAACGAAGGCTCACTGTGACATTGTAATCATTACTGGGCGCCAAGCACGTGGATCATGAACACATGACCTCAGAACATTGCAATAATCAGAACTCTGAGGAGTGGTCATAAGTCCCTCTCATTCAGAGCTGTCATAATTTTGAATAGTCTCTGATTGAATGGTCCTAACCTGAGGACTATTAGTACTGTACTAATCATTTTTATCTCCATGTTGGGAAATGGCCTCGCCTAATGTCTTCAGATAGATGTTAAACATTTTCCCAAATTCCTTGCCATGACACCCCCATATTAATACCACCTAGTTTTTTCAGCTTAACAACAGGTAGAAATTCAATCAGTAAATTTCTCAGTACCAGAATGCAGTGAGCAAAAAAACTAATGCAACATTTCTGTCTGTCTTGAAATATTAGCAATCCTTGTACCCTTCAAGACTGTAATTTAAACTTATATCAAGAATACCAGGTTAGAAATGGATGCCTTCGAGTTACAATCATCTCTTCCAAAAAATGCCCACAATCTGAAAAACTATGTCAGGAAAAAAAATTATCCCCTATTTAAGCAAACATTTACTGTACATTTCACAGGATACAGTGATTCTTCCTATTCATTTTTGTGCAAAATCAATGTAATATTTTTTCAAGAAGCAATGGAGGAAAAAAATATATTATCAGGAAAACTTCCTCTATCCTACCTCCAAAGCCTGGCCGCATGCTGAAGTCATGGTCATCTATTTTGAGAAGTTGTTCTGACTTTATCAGTGGTGATTTGGTGATATCGGGACTTCGTTTAAGTATAGGGCTACATGGCAGGGAGACAACAGATACAATACAACAAATTATTCCTTAGTTTGGGAGTTGGGCCCCCAAGGAATCAGCACATATCAGAGGGGTAGGAATACGTTTTTCATATTTGTATTGATGAACAATATCCATAAATATTTAAAAAATGAGGATTTTCTCCAAAAATGAGAATAGAGTCCCTGACTTCACTGAAAAGACCAGGGGCATCAGATAATCCTTGAATATGTGGGAGCCACATGGGGGAAAATGATAAAAATGATAACATAGTAAATGATATGCCAAACAATAGCACTGGAGAGAGAGGAACAAATAACATTACAGTGGCACTTGTAAAGAATTTCTAAGATAATTTTGCAACAATTTGATTAAGGGGAACTATTAAAGAACTATGCATAATAGCTGCAGTCCAAAAAAAGATATGAATACACTTTATGAACTCAATAGAGCTGGGAGCATAGTAGCCAAACACTAGAAAAACAAAGTGTCTGAGAGCGTTCTGAGAATTAAGAAGATAACAATTGTCTAGAAATTGCTCATCCATAGTGTCATCTGAAGTACCTGAACTCTGGCTACAATCATATCTGAGATGGAAACAAGGAATGCTATTTAAACCATAGTAGTTATTTACCATGTTGCAGCTCTATCTTTGACACATCGTATGCAAATCTTGTTCAAATCTCTGCTCCTGTTTTGCTTTATTTTGACAATGTACAAGTGTACTTCGTAGGAGCACAGGCTGCACACTCAAATGAAGAAAGTGGTTGTTTTTTTCTCTTGGAAACCTCTCCCCACACCCTTGCACAATACCTTCTAGGGGTTGTCTACATTGCCCCTTTCTCAGTCTGACTGTAGAAACAGTTATGTTAGTGGAAGAGCAGGTTGGATTCTAGACTGAGGCACCACATTCTGTTAAAAGGGTAGGAGATTGAAGAGACGGCCTAGCAGAAGTGATTCTATCCCTTGCTGCTTCGAACCCAATAATCCATAATTTCTATTGCTTTCTAAGCAGAGTTGTAATGTGAAGCATTCAAACAAAGTACTTACATGTGTAAATTAGTCCTTAAAAAAAAAGCCTGTGACTGCCAAGGAATTCCTGAGTTGCAACAGTCTTTGTGGGAAGAATTGTTGTGAGCCGTAATTTGAAATAACCGAAAGGCCACTATTCCCCAGCCTGAAAAACATCTAAATAGGGAGCCTTTGTAGGTTCAAATTGCTTTGCTACATGTAAATATCCCCAATCAAAATAGGAAGGAAGATATCCAGAATTTAGTTGGTGTTGTACTACATATTCTTTGTAAGGGCAACCAACTGATTGTCATTCTTCCACCCAGATAACTGTTCAGTTTTAGAAAATGGCCTGAAATGAGGTGTGGGACCACGGACTGAACTCTATTCATTTATTAGAATTTCTGTCTGTGTATATAATATTCACATTTTAGACCACTATACATTGAATACAACACAACAAAAGAAGAAATAAAAAATGCCTTGCAGTTTTACAGTCCCTGGCCTAGAAGCTTCCTAGTGTGTTAGCTGTCCATCTCCTGAATTAGCACAGTTATGAAATCAATCCATATTTTTAATTTTTATTCTAATAAGGAAAATAGTTGATCCCATGAAGGGGTTACGAAAGTGGGAACCTCCAGATGTTAACAAACTAATGTGAGTTGGAGAACACCATCTGGAGGGACATAGACCCTTGGTTTGGTAGGTATCTTGTTTGAGAATGGCAGACTAGGGGGAAGAATGAAATGGAATTCTCCGATATGCTGCAGGAGTATAATTTACGAAGTTTTGAAATTAGTAAAATAATACATGTAGTATTGCCACCTTAAAAAAATAATCTCATTCCCTCCAATCAAACTGTTAAATCCAGAATTTAAAGTAGCAGAACCATTCTACTAGTTTCTCTTTTATATATATAAGAAAGGAAAGAAGCTATAAGAATTTCAATTTTAAGTTTATCGCTTCAATTTTAATTCCATACCTGCCTTGTTTGTGTGATGCTCCGTGTGTTTCTCTTCTCTGTCTTTGTGGCTGGCTATAAAAACAGAAAGAACAACCACACAATATTTAGGAACTCCCATAAAACTGAATGTATGCTTTAAACTTAATCAACATGTCAAGTCAAGAGACAAAGCAAAGTTTATGAATCAATCCCAGTGTAATCTAAGTCCACAGCAGGGAGAGACTTGGCAGTGCCAAGTGTGTACAGGCTAAGCCTCATACGCTGGAGGTAATTCCCCTAAGGTGGTTATTTGAGCATATCCTAGGTGTAAAGGAGTATTTATAATATCTTGTTTGTGAATCAAGGATCCAATTTGGGACTGCTGTTGCTGAGATGCTTGTGCAAAACAACAAAATCTTCATTTTTTTTCTAATGATAATGACATTTAAGATTGGGGAAAGGATAATTGAATCCACTTATGAACACCTGAACTCAACCATAATTCATAACTTGCACACCCTACGCCAACAGCATGACATTGACAAACAAAACACAATCTGGTCACTCGGGGGAACTCTAGAAAGACTTTGTAATTCACTACCAGATTGTTCCTCTTGCTATATGAACCTGAAAGCTTATGCCAGGGTGGCCTTGATCTAGATCTACATCTTTCCTTTTGTTGCTCACTGATTACTAAAAAAAAATAGAAAGCATACATATTTTTTAGACAGTAGAAGACATAAACTCAGAGGTGAGAACCTGAACCCTTCCCACCACTCAGACTCAATATGTGTTTTGCAGAGTAATAATAATGATATTCTGCAGAACTGCAAAACTCTGCTTATCCAGGCACATTCTAAGTTTCACTATAAGTATAGCTATTGTTTTGCAGGCCACTCTGAGAGATCGTTAACCCTGACGCCGAATTCTTGAGGGAATATCGCTCAGTTATTTCCTTGAAACATCACTTCCCTACTGATCTTTTTTTAAAAAAATCTTTTTCACTTGTGACATCAGTTCCCATACAGTACTTTGAATCTTTCTAGTTTTCCATTGATGGTTCACTATTAATCTGAATTAAATGGCTCAGTTGGTACAGCAAGGATTCTACTCTTGCTGGTGGAAGATGGAGGTGACTTTTGTGGATCCATTTCTTGGATCCTCTAGAAATCTGTGTGGGGAACTGGGAGAATCTTAAGACTGCAGAAAGTGCCAGCTGCAGAGAGGAAAGGATTTGTTGAAAACTGGATCTCCTTGTCATTTTCCTCTGCTCAATCACGGAAGAGGAGATACAAATTAAAACCTTCCTCATCACTGGACTGCATATCCCACCTTTCATTATGAAGTCAGCAATATTTGGTTTATCAGATCAGATCCATTGCCTTGGTCTTAAAACAGCAAATATTTTATTTTAGTGATAGCCCCATTCATTTTGATTCCCTGTTTTTATTTTGGAGGATGGTCTCCAACACATCCCTCAAGGGATAAGGACCTAAAAAACTTCATTCTCTATGCCATAGCAAGGGCCATTTCAAGAGGAAAGACATTATTAGATACAGAATGCCAAGGATGTTTGGGGGAGGAAGAGAATAACAAGGAAGCAAGAAGGCAAAGATTGTAGATATTCATCCTCCCATTGCTTATGGTAGATTATTGAGCTCATTGTATGAAAACCAAAGGGCTTAGACAATAGTAGTTTAATAGAAATGACAGCTGGATGTGAAGGGGAGGATGAAAACAGATAATAAAATGAGAGAGATATAAATAGATGCAATCTGGGTCATAGTAGGATTCCCATGGCAGCAGAGGAAAGAAGTGTATCTGCTTTGTGGCAGCAGGAAACTCTGTTCTTTCTCTCCCACCCACCCCTCAGTATCCCATCCGATCCCTCAATTCTTTGGCAAACTTGGTCGCCCTGCACACAGGGAACAAGGAAACAAACTTCAGGGCTCCTTAAGTTTTTCTTTCAGCAGTTCATGTCAAGCTCTTAACTCACTAAATTATAACAGGCTTGCTTGCAATTTTCCAATAACAAAATCATCCAATCAAAAGGAGCTCTGATCCTGACTAGGAATTTGAGAAGCTCTGCTAGAAAATTAAGTAACATTATGTTGGGTATTAAGTTGGACCATAAGAAAGGCTGAGCACCAAAGAATTGAGGCCTTTGAACTATGGTGCTGGAGAAGACTCCTGCGAGTCCCCTGGACTGCAAGGCGTTCAAACCGGTCAGTCCTAGAAGTGATCAACCCCGACTGCTCTTTAGAAGGCCAAATCCTGAAGTTGAAACTCAAATACTTTGGCCACCTAATGAAAAGGAAGGACTCACTGGAGTAGGGACTAATGCTGGGAAAGATTGAGGGCAATAGAAGAAAGGGACGACAGAGAATGAGATGGCTGGATGGAGTCACTGAAGCAGTAGGTGTGAACTTAAATGGACTCCAGAAGATGGTAGAGGACAGGAAGACCTGGAGGAACATTGTCCATGCGGTCGCGATGGGTCGGACACCACTTCGCAATTAACAACAACAACAACATGTTGGGTATGCTAAATGTCTGAATCTGCTTACATGGGGTATACATGTTTATACCCCAGAAAGAATATTTGTAGCTCAGGGTTGAAATAAGGGGTCCTTGTTGCTCTCTCAGCTTGGTTGTTTTCTTGCAGTCATTTTATTACCCAAACTAGGTAACGTGATCAGTGCTGGTAGAGAGTGGGGTTTGCTCTCATTTTATATTCTAGTGGTTTGCCCTGTCACTGTTGGTATGGGTGGTCTTGGACGTTCTTTGGTTGGGCTGTTTACTATTAGCTTGTTTGAATATAAAATGAGAGCAAACCCCAATCCCTGCTAATACCAGTGCTTTTTTTGTAAAAAAAAAAAAAAAGGTGCCGGAATTCACCCATGTCATACAACCCGCCTACTCTACAAGGTACCATCCCAAAAAGGTGCCAGAACTCCATTCTGACTGTTCTATGACAAAAAAAGCTCTGGCTAGTACTGATGGTGTTACCTAGTTTGGGTAATGAAACATTTGGAAGAAAGCATCCAAGCTCAGAGAGCACCAAGGACCCCTCATTTTTAGGTATTTTAGAATGCCAGTTGAAGATAAAAGTTATGTTATGTAATTTATGAATGCCTGTTGGGACAATAATTTCCACTGCCTTCTTGGATTTTTCTCTACTTTCCTAATCTATCATCAAGAAATATCTCAGTGACCTCCATTCCAGGTACTGTATTAATCAGACTGACCTTTCTTAACTTAGCTCACAAAAGGTCAACGATATGTTGCTCTAAGTTCTTGGCTTAATAAGGAGCTTACAATTAACTATAATTTCCAGTTTCATCCAATTTGGAAAACATAGTCCGCAGCATGGGAGATATTCAACCAATCTTAAACCATGGTTTAATATCATAGTTGCACTAAAGCTAGCTTATAGTTTTGACTGAAAAAGGCAAATTATGGCTAAGTGAAAGCTTTCTGGTGTGCTTGCTCTTTTTAAGAGAGGATTCAAGAATTGCAAGCTTATCCATACCTCAGAAGATGAGGAGGAAGAGAAAGAAATTTATATCCTGCCTTAATACAAAATCTCATTTAATCTTAGTATGAAAGTCGTCTTAAGGATAAAAGATAAGCTATTCAGTGCCAGTATGCAATTCCAATAAAGTCCAATTACATGTGAATCCTCTTTTCAAATGCAGCTTGCACAATGCAGGTTGAAGGAATGTTTTGCACCAGTAAGAAAGAAAAGATTAGCTGAGATAGTTAAGGCAACCTCTTTGCCTCCATATTCCAAACTATTTTCATCTTCCCCATTCCTTTTGCTCCCTTTTAATTTGCCCCCTCCCCAACTTTCATAAACAGTGCTAAGAGGCAAGCAGCCATTCAGGCATCCTGTGCAGAATGACTGTGCAGAAGAAAACTTTAGGGGCACAGCAGAAGGATCCACCCCTGGCTTAAATGTATTTGTGTCAATGGCTGAAATGAGTCACTGACCATATGGACAGAGATCCAGTCTTGGGAAAGAAACAGTCTTGCAATGACTCTGAACAGGCATTGACCAATAGAAGCTTAGGAACTCAGAAGATTAGGGACCTAAAATATAGAAAAATCTCTGCTTCCTGTTTTCAGACACCATTTATACATTAGTAAATCATATTCTAACCATCACTGAGTCAGTATAAACCCTCTCTCTATTAATGATTTACAGCAGTGTTTCTCAATTGTGGCAACTTTAAGACATGTGGACTTTAACTCCACATGTCTTTAAGTTGCCAAGGTTGAGAAACATTGATAGAGCATCACTGATTGGGCAATACTATAAAATCACATATGAGAAAATAAGATGAGCACAAAACAAGGCCATCTGTCCCAGAACACTGTGTTTCCATAGAATGGGTCAATCCAAACATCCTGGGGTGATTTGTCCATTCTTAGAGGTGAATCTTCCGGAGGTGAAGTTGATTGCTACTTTCTGACCCTGATTTTCAGCCAGCAGACTATTAGCATTCCTGTACCTCGGGGAGCTTCATCTTTGCAGGGTACGCAGTTTTAAATAGAAATAAATGTTTATTCCCCATGATAAATCAATGCTGGCAATTGAGGCTGGTTTAAAGAATTTGGAGGTCCAATACAACACGAGGTTTGGAACCAGTGGTGGGATTCAGTCAGTTTGCACCAGTTCGGCAGAACTGGTAGCTAATTTTTTGTTGCTCAGGCCCAGAATGGACTTCCGGAAGCAATATCCACACAGCGAACTGCTTGTTCACATATTTGAATGCCACCACTGTTTGGAACCCTACCTCCCCCAAATCTAGATTAATACTACACAAGAGTTCCTGCAAATTGAGATGCTGAAACTATGTATTTATATTGAAATATTCACAGAGTCTGAACTAAAAATTGAACATGTGTCTTGAAGAAACATATGGGTTACACAAGTCACACTACAAAAGCTACCTTAGGAGAATGACCTCATTGGCCAACATTAGAGCAGTATTATTCTGTAAGAAGACTTGGTTCTCTGAAAACCCTCTTAGTTTGATATATATCTTGCCTAACATGGAGCTGCATTAGCTAATAAACAGAGCAGCCTGCTTGAAAATCTCATTGGCCTCAGGTAAATATTCTGCTCTCGGGTACACATGATGGACACAGGGAAGCATGTGTGTACGTTCATGTGCCTCTAGCTTGCTTCAAACTTCTGTTCCTCAACCTACAGCTACATACGCTGCAGTCTCCTTAAATTGGCCTTGCTATTTCTATGACCATTTTCATGAACAGTTTAAAAATTAAGTAATAAAGATTCCAAAGGACTTATTTTGCCAGCTACAGAATTCTTTACAGTCCTCTTCAGTTTAATTTTGCTTTTAAGAACTTGACTTTGCAGGCAATACTCTTCAGACAGATGTGTCCCAACCTGGCATCTCCAAGATATAGCAGATGACAATTCACAGCCAGCACCTGGGTTGTTGGTTTTTTTAGTATAATACACCTGGAGATATATTATACTAAGTTGGAAGAGGCTGGTTTAGGACAATTTCTTTAAAAAAATATTTCACATTGAATTCCACTTTATAAAATAATGTTTCTTCAAATTTGAGGAGAAACCCTCTACTGAGTCCTATTTTTAATTGACTCAGATAAATAAAATAATCAGGAACTTCAACAACTTCCCTTTGGTGCTATTTTATATGGTAGGTAACTTATTCCTTGTTCATTTTAACTAGAATTCTTCAGGGAGGCTATGTTGGATGCAAAATGCTGGTAGGACAGGAGGGGAATGGGGGTTATCTTTTTGAAATTTCCTGAAGTTAACTTATCTAAAAATTCAAGCAATTAATACTAATAATTCACTACATTAAATCTCTTTGCACGAACAAAATTTTGATCTGCCTAAATCATTTGGAAGAATGATTGGGGAAGTCACAGTAAATGTCTTTTTAATTAAAATAATTTCCAAGTATAATGGACACTTTACAGCACATAAAGATGGTACAAATTCTGTATGTTCCATGGAGTTCAGAAGAGTTTGTCTTGTAATAATCACAACCTTATTTACTATATTTCTTAGGTTATAGTTTTTATTAAATGTGATAATATTATGAACCAATGTATAGAAGCACAAATATGACATACTGAACTCATGCAAAATGGAAATCCTTAGTTTTTACTAATATCCTCAACAACATATTGACATTAAAAACTCAAGGAAACTATATGTCCTTGGTAGAAAAAGAAACATATCTAGATCAGGAATGTAGAAGTAATTTGTTCAAATATTTTAAAATACTAAATTATGTAATAATTCTATGATAATGAAAATGTTAAATAATTGTAATGAATTTATACCCAGAAAATAAAATATATGATGTATGGAAAAAAAACGTATCATGAATGTTTGACACAAGAGACATTTTCACTTGGTGTGAATGGATTGAAAAATATATTCAAAATATTAAACTGAGAGAAAAGAGGGTGCATTACTTTCTCATTTAGTCTAATTATTCTAATTGCATCAAATTAAATGGTTGATTGGTTGCTATCAAATAATCTCTCCTGAATTCCTTCCCCATAATGTGCATGTGAAATTAAACTGATTTATATTTATTTAGTGTGTTGATTATAAACTTATCACATCAAAAAGAGACATACTTTTACAAGAAATATTTTTAATACAAACAAGAGATGGATGTTTGGATGTCTTAAATGTGGGCTGTATAGTCTCTTGAAAACTGCATCACTTTTCATTTTGGGGGTTTCACTCACCTGCCCTTTTTATAGACTTCATGGATTTCTTTTCCATTAGCTTTGCATTCTCCAAATAAAATCCATCCACAAAACAGCAAGAAGATGCTTGAATGCATTTTATAAATCGTCAACATGATAGCTGTTCTTGCATCCAGAATTATGCCACAAAATAAACAAAGGAAGAAGAAAAAAAGCAAAATGAAGGTTTGTTTTATCTTTTTAAAACATGATCTGTCTGTTGGTTATTGGGAGGATGTTTACCGGTAGGAGGGAAAAAAAGGCATCCCACAATGTTTAATCTGGACAGTGGAGAAAGCAATTTTCACTAAACCTATAAATCCTCCTACGTCAGTGGCAGGGATTTTCAAACTGTTAAGTCCTCGCAGTAATGGCGAATGATGAAGACACATATTTCCAGAACAACTCTTTATTATGTTTTCAGCCAAAACTCTAACAACGAGCAAAGGCACGCAGGCCTCCTTTTATACACCCAGATCCCCGGACACAATGGCAACATAGACAGGCACTTTTTGCGCCTTGCGCATGCGCGCAAAGCCAGCGCCACTCAGTCTGGTCCCGGGCAGCTTCTGCAAGGCCCGGGTCTATTGCAACGTCCCGAGCCTGCATTTGCAGGCTCAGGACACAACACCCCTCCCCCCTAGCTTGAAACAATCCTGACATCTTCAACATTCTTCTTTGGGAAGAGTGTCATACTTCCTCACAGTCAAGCATGGAAGGGAGTGCCTGAGGTTGCCTCCACCCACAAGTTCTTTTCCTTGTTTTGGCAAATAGAAATACCTGAAATCATAAATAAAACAAAATACATTATTAGTCAATGACCTTAAGGGTAGTACCCCGGGAACTGGACAGCAACTTCACAAAATCTGAAAAATATTTGGGAGGGCACTTGGCCCTTTGCGACCTCCTCGGACTGGAAGAGTTTGCTTGGTCCCTTTTCTTGCCCACCAGGCTGGGTGAGCCAAGACGTTGCTGCCCACTTGCCTCAGGAGACCCTGGTGTTGTTGCCTGACTTACCTGCTCGCCTGCCAGGCTCGGTAGGTCAGGACTTTGCTGCCCCAGGTACCTGGTTGACCTGCCCATCTGCTGGCTGGCTGGGCCCTCTGAGCTCAAACCAGCATCCCTTGGAGGGGTGGTATTCCCCGGTTCCACAATGGACCTTTCTTGGGAGCACTGTCCCTCGACCCCAAGGTCAGCAGATGGAGAGTCAGGGGTGGCTACAGGGCCCCAGTACCCAGTGGACCCCAAGGTCATGCCTGAGGTGCCAGAATCAGGAGTTGCCTCTCTGTTTGCCCCCCTTACAGAGGACTTCCTTCTGGGAGCAGTTGCGGAATTTGGCCAGCTCCCATGCTGTATTTACAGTTCTCTTGTAGGATGTGAGTTGTGTGGATACCCCCGGTCAGTCTCCCTATCTGGAGCATTATTAGTTATGTGTGAATAATGTGTGACTCCCTGGCTGGAGTAAGTATGGGTGTGTGGGATGACCCCCTGCCCCATGAATTCCTGTTTGGAGCACTTGCGGAACCTTGAGATGGGGCACCAATGGCCTCCTCAGCGGCCAGTAAAGGCTGCTGACATTGATCCTCAGAATGCGCTCTATAACCTTCCTCCCCTCCCAGAGCAGAGCCAGGAGTGGAAGGGTGAAAAGCCAGCCTCGCACGCTGCTGATCTATGTGCCGCCAAAGAACGCGGCTGTCTTCCAAGGACACTTCATAGGACAAAGGACCAGAGATCTTGCAGACCACGGTGGTACCCAGAGATGACCAGGCCCGTAGTTCCGAGTCCAGACCGGATCACCCACTTGCAGGCTCCTCGGTGCCCGTGGATGCGACACCTGAGATGCCATCCAGTCAGGGTGCAATCTGTCCAGCTTAGTGATAAGCCGGCAACCCCATCGAAGTTCAGCAGGGCTCTTCCCGGTGGCTGTGCAAGGTGTGGTGAAATGTGCAAGAAGAAAGTCTGCTAACCTGTGATGCCAGTCACCGTAAGTCAGTTTCTTGAGGGCATCCTTGGTGGTGCGCACCATACGCTCAGCCAGTCCGTTGGTGGATGGGTAGAAAGGAGCCGAAGTTGCATGGCGGATCAGGTTGGCCTGAAGAAAAGCCTGGAACTCAGGAGAGGTAAATTGAGGACCGTTATCTGAAACCAGAACATCTAGAAGGCCATGAGCTGCAAAAATACCTCTCAACACCTGGATAGTCTTGGCAGTAGTAGTGGAGGTCACGGGAACAACCTCTAGCCACCTAGAATGGCTATCAACAACAACCAGGAAGAATTGCCCCTGAAAGGGCCCAGCGTAATCTATATGTACCCTAGACCATGGGGTATGAGTTTCCTTCCACCTATGAACTGGGGCCTGAGGCAATTCAGGCTGGGACTGCTGGCACACATGGCACCTGGGCCTCAATGGCTTTATCAAGGCCAAGCCACCACAAATGGCTGTGCATAAGCGCTTTCATCCTGACTATCCCAGGGTGTCCCTCATGTAGAGAGATTAAGATTCTAGACCTCAATGAGATTGGGATTACTACCCTACTTCCCCATAACAGGCATCCCTTAAAAGTGGACAACTCATGCCTCTTTTGCCAGAAACTTTGGAACTCAGTATCAGGGCACGTGTCAGGCCATCCTGACAACACCCACGTCAGCACGTGTGTAAGCGTGTGATCAGTGGCAGTTTCTGCAGCCACATCCCTAGCATTGAGGGGAGACTCAGGCAGCTCTTGAAGGATAGAATATTAATGGCTGGAGCAGGATCAGGCTCCAGTGCTCAGGGCATCTGCATGACCCATGTCCTTTCCAGGTTTGTGAATCAATGTGTAGTCATATGCTGATAGGAAAATGGACCAACGCAGCATACAAGGAGACAGGACATGTGGAGTTTGTTTGGTAGTGTAAACAACCCTAGCAAGGGCTTATAGTCAGTGTAGACCGTGAAGTGGCAGCCGTATATGAAATCATGAAACTTCTTAATGCCAGCCACAATAGCCAGTGCTTCCCTGTCAATCTGAACATAATTACGCTCTGCAGAAGACAGGGTCCTGGAATAATAAGCCACAGGGACCTGTGTCCCATCAGCTATCAGATGGCTAAGTACTGCTCCCACCCCATATGGAGATGCATCGCAGGCAATGCAAACAGGTAGTTGCTCATTGAAGTGAGCTAGCACTGCATTAGAAGTAAGCAAGGCTTTAACCTCATTGAAACTTTTTTCATGGACTTTAGTCTACTGCCAACAGGCTTGTTTGTCTAAGAGCCTGTGCAAGGGCTCAGCTATTGCAGCTTTATGTGGTAGAAATGCATGGTAAAAGTTTAATAGCCCCAAAAAGGCTTGTAGTTCACCCTCAGACTTAGGGCTTGGAGCCTGCTGAATAGCTTTCAATTTAGCTTCAGAAGGGTGAATGCCTTGAGCATCTATCCTGAATCCCAAAAAGTCAGTAGAATTGACTCCTATCTTACACTTGTCCTTCTTTAACTTAAGGCCTGCTCTTCTAAAACGAAGCAAGGCAGCCCTTAATCTCTCTGCCAAGTTTTGAGAGATTCCCCAGCAATGAGAACATCATCAAAATAAGGGCAGACTCCAGGAATACCCCACAGTGTGTTCTCCATGACACTTTGGAAAATGCCAGGGGCAACATTCACCCCAAATTGCAATCTCTTTACTTTAAAAGCTCCTCTATGGGTTACAATTGTCTGAGCCTCAGCAGCTGCCCCATTAACAGGCAACTGTTGATAGGCCTGTGCCAGGTCAAGCTTCGCAAAGATGCACCCCCCCCCCTTTAGGGAAGCCAGAATGTCACTTACTACAGGTACTGGATAGGCGTGTTGCTGCAGTGCCTTGTTTAGTGTGCACTTCTAGTCTGCACATATACGTATGTCCCCATTAGCCTTTAGAGGCGTTACTATGGGGGTTTCCCAAGGACTAGAATCTACAGATTCTAAGATGCCCTGCTGGAGCAATTTGTCCAGTTCAGCATCAATCTTGCCCTTGAGGGCAAAAGGTACCCTCCTAGGCTTAACCCTAATGGGTGTTATGGAAGGATCTAATCATAATGAAACTGGATGCCCCTTATAGGATCCAAGCTCAGAACTAAACATATCTGCAAATTCCTTGCAGACTTCCGCAAGATTTAATGTTTGCAAATGGTGCAGCCCCGTGACCTGGATTCCCAGAGCCTCGAACCAATCAAGTCCAACAGGACTCGTGCATTCACCCCCAACAACCAACACATCTAAGGGACCCTCAAAATCCTTGTACTGTACCTTAAGGGTGGCCTCCCCCTTAACACACACCTTAGAATTCTGAAAGTCTGTGAGTGTTACATTGGATGGCCTGATTTTAGCTCGAAGACCACTACTGCTGCAAATTTTCCTGAATGTGTTGAGGAAAATAATGGAGAGAGCAGACCCAGTGTCCAACTCCATGGATAAAGGAACCCCATGCAACCTTACTTTAAGGGACAGTTTCTTCTTTAGGGGTTATGTGTGCCTGTCCTTAAAATACTTCTGCACATTGCGCAGAAACCCACCCTATTTTGGCTGGGGACCCTGGTACCTTTCAGATGCAATTCTTCTCTAGGTTGTACCTTCTGACAACCCAAACAGACGGATGTGATGTGGCCTTGCCTGCTGCATGCTCTGCAAATGGTGGAACGGAACCGGCAGTCAGCTCGTTTGTGGCGTCCTCCACACCCGAAGCATTGAAGAGCTGTTGCTGCCTTTTTTGTGCATTCCTTCTGTCTCCTTTCGGCTGCCTGGTACAGCTTATCCACCTCTTCTTCAGGAACTTCCTCCGACTCTTCTCGCACGTTCTCCTGGTGGACGGCGACAGTCTCTGGAGAGCTTCTGGTGGGCCGCAGATTCTTTACCGCCCCACCTGCTGCTTCCTCTGCTACAACCTCTCGCAGAGCATCTTGGAAAGAGATATCTTCTTTAGCGAAGATCTTTTGCTGTAAGTCTCTGTTCCTTAAACCGTATACAAAACGATCGCGGAGCCTTCCTTCCAAATCTTTAAACTCACACGGTCTGGCTGCTCGCCTCAAGGCCACAATAAAGTCCTTAGCAGATTCACCTGCCCTCTGATCCCTTTGTTCAAACGTGTGCCTCCAAGCAATGACGGACAACTTGGGCTGGAAATGCTCTTTCAGAAGTTTCTTTAAATCAGTATATGTTACTGCTTCCAGAGAGGCAGGGGCCACTAGATTTTCTGCAATCTCAAAAGCTTCCTGTCCACAGACACACAACAAGGTTGCAGCC